GGCATCCTTGACATGTTCCTGATCTTAAGGGAAGGTCTCTCAGCTTTTCCCCATTGAGGATGATAGTCACTGTGGGTTTTTCATAGATGGATTTTATGAACTTGAGGAATGTTCCCTCTATCCGTATACTCTGAAGAGTTTTAATCAGGAAAGGATGTTGTATTTTGTCAAATGCTTTTCCTGCCTCAATTGAAAGGACCATGTGGTTCTTCTCTCTCTCTTATTAATGTGTTTTATCACATTGATTGACTTGCGAATGTTGAACCACGCTTGTATCCCAGAGATAAATCCCACTTGGTCGTGGTGCGTGATCCTTTTCATGTATTGTTGGATCCTATTAGCTAGGATTTTGTTGAGAATTTTGGAATCCTTATTCATCAGGGATATTGGTCTGAAATTCTTTTTGATGGGGTCTTTGCCTAGTTTGAGGATTAAGGTAATGCTGGCCTCATAGAATGAATCTGGAAGCCTTCCTTCTGTTTGTATTTTTTGAAACAGCTTCAGGAGAATAGGTATTATTTCTTCTTTGAATGTTTGGTAGAATTCCTCAGGGAATCCATCAGGCCCTGTACTCTTGTTTTTGGGGAGGTTTTTGATCACTGCTTCAATCTTGTTACTGGTTATTGGCCTATTCAGGTTGTCAGTTTCTTCCTGTTTCAGTCTTGGCAGTTTATAGGTTTCCAGGAAGGCATCCATTTCTTCCAGGTTGCTCAATTTATTGGCATATAGTTGTTGATAATAATTTCTAATAGTTTTTTCTATTTCCTTGGTATTAGTCATGATCTCTCCCCTTTCATTCATAATTTTATTAATTTAGATCCTTTCTCTTTTCTTTTGGATAAGTCTGGCCAGTGGTTTTTCGGTCTTATTAATTCTTTCAGAGAACCAGCTTCTAGTTTTGTTGATCTGATCTACTGTGTTTGTGGTTTCTAATTCATTGATCTTTGCTCTAATCTTAATTATTTCTCTTCTAATGCATGGCTTAGGCATCTTTTGTTGCTTTTTCTCTAATTCTTTAAGGTATAATTAGTTGGTGAATTTGGGATTTTTCTATTTTTTTTTTTTTTTTTGAGTAAGGCTTGGATGGCTATGTATTTCTCCCATAGGACTGCCTTTGCAGTATCCCATATGTTTTGGATTGATGGGTTTCTGTTCTTATTGGTTTCCATGAATTGTTTAAGTTCTTTGATTTCCTGGTTGACCCAGACATTCTTTAGCAGAGTGTCTTTAGTTTCCAAGTGTTTGCATTTCTTCCAAATTTGTTCTTGTGATTGAGTTCCAGTTTTAAAGCATTATGGTCTGAGAATATGCAAGGAATAATATCAGTCTTTTGGTATCTGTTGAGACATGATTTGTGACCCACTATGTTGTCTATTCTGGAGAAAGTTCCGTGTGCGCTCGAGAAGAATGAGTATTCTGTTGTTTTAGGGTGGAATGTTCTGTATATATCTATGAGGTCCATCTGGTCCAGTGTGTCATTCAAAGCTCTTGTTTCTTTGTTGATTTTCTGCTTAGATGATCTGTCCATTGCTGAGAGTGGAGTATCGAGGTCTCCTACGATTAACGTATTATTATCAATATGACTCTTTATTTTGGTTAACAGTTGGCTTATGTAGATGGCTGCTCCCATGTTGGGGGCATAGATATTTACAATTGTTAGATCTTCTTGTTGGATAGACCCTTTAAAAATGATATAGTGTCCTTCTGTGTCTCTAACTACAGTCTTTAGTTTAAAATCTAATTTGTCTGATGTAAGAATTGCTACCCCAGCTTTCTTTTGAGGTCCATTGATATGGAAGATGGATCTCCATCCCTTCACTTTCAGTCTGGATGTATCTTTAAGTTCAAAATGAGTCTCTTGTAGACAGCATATGGATGGGTTCTGTCTTTTTATCCAGTCTGCAACCCTGTGCTGTTTTATGGGAGTATTTATGCCATTCACATTAGTGATTATTGAAAGATATGAATTTATTGTCATGTTGCCTGTGAAGTCCTTGTTTCTATAGATTGTCACTGTATATTTCTGTTCTATATCACTCTTGGGGTCTTTCTCCTTTTATAGAACCCCTCCTTAATATTTCTTGCAGGGCCAACTTAGTGGTCACATATTCTTTCAGTTTCTGCCGGCCTTGGAACCTCTGGATCTCTCCATCCATTCTAAATGACGGCCTTGCCAGATAAAGTATTCTTGGCTGCATGTTCTGCTCATTTAGCACCCTGAATATGTCTTGCCAGCCCTTTCTGGCTTGCCAGGTCTCTGTGGATAGGTCTGACGTTATTCTGATGTTCCTCCCTCTGTACATAAGGAATCTCTTCCCCAGTTGCCCTTAAGATGGTTTCCTTGGTTCTAAGATTTGCGAGTTTTGCTATTACATGCCGGGGTATTGGCCTGTTTTCCTTGATCTTGGGAGGGTTCCTCTCTGCCTCTAAGCCACGATTGTTTGTTTCATTCCCCAGATTAGGGATTTCTCACCTATGATTTGCTCAAATATATCTTCTAGTCCTCTCTCTCTACCCCCTCAGGGATTCCGATAATTCTGACATTGGAACGTTTCATGGTGTTACTTATTTCTCTGATTCTGTTTTCATGGATTCTGAGTTGTTTTTCCCTGGCCTCCTCTTTTTCCTTCTTGTCTATTAATTGGTCTTCTAGATCACTAATTCATTCTTCTGCCTCACTTACCCTAGCTGTTAGATTATCTAGACTTGATTGGATCTCATTGATAGCATTTTTAAGTTCTGCCAGTTCAGCTTTCATTTCTGCCTTTAGAGACTCTATGTTGCCATTAATCGATTTCTCCATTCTAGCTATTGTCTTTACAGTTGCTACCCTGAATTCCATCTCTGACATCTTGGTTATATCTGTATCCATTTGTAAATCTGTGGCAGAAATTACAGTCTCTGAGTCTTTCCTATTTTGGGGGTTCCTCCTAATCATTCTGTTGAGGGGTGGTTGAGGGAATGTATAGAGTCCAAATTATTGACCACAATCCAAGCAAGATGCACCTGTTTTATAGGGACCTTAGGGTTGCTGGCCTCTTGTTCTCCCAACCTGTCTCCTGGGGGAGGGGCCTGCTGTGTTGTTATTCAGGCAGCCCTGTTTGGGCAGAGTTGCCCTGCCCCCTGTGTGTGGGGGGATGGGCTCAGTGAAAACCAGTTTTTTGGGGCTTTTGTTCTCTGGCGGCTTTCCCTGGTGGCTTTCCGCATCTCTTCCGAGAGTCAGAGCAGAAGAGATAGTTTCCAACCCTCTGCTTCAGAGTAGAGAGATCTCAGTCTGTTCTTCCATGACCTCTCCAGGCCACACTATCTCCGTTTCTGTGCTGCTCTAAACTGCAGCGTCCTGGCTTGTGTGCCCCTCAGCAGTGCTCCCAGTCCTCGCCTCCTCAGGTCAGGGCACATTTCTGCCCTTTGTGCTTCTAAAACCACCAGCCGCCCTCAATTTGCACGTGCAGCCCCACTGCTCTGGGTTTAAATCTGGGGGGCCGCCCTAAAGTCCTTTCCCCATCGCTACTGGTCTGCGAGTCTGTGCCCTGTCCCCGGCGCGGGAGGCTATCGCTCACTGATGGTGTAAGATCCCCACGGCTCCCTCCCTCTGTGTTTATCTTGCAATATCTGCCTGGGGAATCATGGCTCCCCACTGCATACCTTGAAACCAACTGCCTGCGATATTCTGTTTGTAGAGATCCAGATCTATCTTCTTACATCTCAGGCTGATTTCATGAATGTTCAGAGTGGTCTGGTGGATATCCAGCTCAATTCCTGGGACCGGTTGGAATAGGGTCCCCTACTCCTCTGCCATCTTTTCCTCCAGATCTGCCAAATTTTATAAAGCTGCAATAAGGAAAATAAGAGATGTATTAAGTGACATATTAAAGAATAAACCTGAAATCCCTAAAGTAGATTCTAGTGAGGAAAATAATTTATAGGTAGCATGGAAGCATCCCAACACAGTGAAGGAAGGGATTTGTTTGTTGTTCAATAAATGGTGATGAAAAAACTTTGTAAAAATTGAAATTAACACCTCATATGTACATCATATTTACAAAAATTCCAACTATGACAGGAAATTAAATGTGGAAAATTCAGTAAAGAACCAGGAGAAAAATAAAGATGTCTGTATATATAATCTTGGCATAGGGAAAGTCTATCCAAGCAAAACTTCCAAAACAGAAACTATAAATTGATAAATTTGATCAATTTAAAAGAAAAGTTCTTCATGCCAAAAATAGTCAAAATTAAAAGACAAGTGATAAATTGGTAACATTTGTATGATGTGTATGTATATACATTATACATAGTCAATGATAAAATTCAGTAATCGCAGAAACTTACAATGTTATCCTCTTTGGAAATTGATTTAGCCTTACATAAGACTGAGATTTTAAAAGTTCATACCTTTGGCCATAGAAATTCCACTTCTAGAGTTGGAAAGTCATAAATTACCACTGAATCATGAGACAATGCTCTTTTCCTGGCAAAGGGGCATAGTAATATAATAGCAATAATTACAGTATTGAGATTTACTCAGTATCTATTAGGTTTGCTTAGTGCTTTACAGAGGTACTGCTTCTACCTCTTTTGGCAAAGTGAAGCGCATCAAACAATGTAATAGAAAGTCCTCAACAACACTTTTCTTTAGATCTTCTTTCTGACAAACATCTTTGATCATTGTCAGTTTCTCCTAATATATAAGAGAAATGCCAACTTAGGCTACCCAAGAAATCTCTACTGGGCTTGTTTAATATAAATGGTGACACATGGAACATTCCCCAAGCTTTTATGCAAAATCTATTTTTTCATGGTGTTGCAGGGAAATGACTTTGGCAGGTTCATGATCAGACTCTGCTGAGATGCTTCTGAAGGTCACTAGGACCTGGGGACGGAGCATCCACACTTTCTCTTACACTCTGAAGGCTTTGATGGACTTCTTACTTTGGCAAAGCTTTGTATGTTCTGAAACTGATGGGACATTTCTTTTTTTTCAATTTTAATGGATGAAGTATGGAAGTAATTCGTCTGGGACACAGTTACTTTATAAACTGGGATCGGAAGATGTATTACTCTGGAAAATCCACACCTGCAGAAGCTCGGACAACCACTCTAAATGAGGAACTGGGCCAGATTGAATACGTTTTCTCCGACAAAACAGGCACCCTCACTCAAAACATCATGACTTTTAAAAAATGTTCCATTAATGGGAAAATCTATGGTAAGGGAAACAGTTCTTCTTTCTTACTGATATTGTTAGTAGTCCTTGAGAACATAAGCAACTCTATTTTTAAAAACCAAACCACTTATTGTTGGCTTTCTTATTAATACAGGCACACAATTATGTAGTGCTTGACATATAGTAAACACTCACTAAATATTTGTTCAATGAATGTTGAATAATTGAGATGAAACTTTGCATTTGTTACCATTCAGGGGTAGAGATGGGGTTAGCTATGATACTGTCTGAGATTCCGTTTGGTACTCTAACTGTGTGATTGTATTCTGTGGTGCTTAATAGACCCATATCCAAGGGAGGACAAGTTCTTGGTAACTTGATTTAGCTTGGTAAAAACAGTATTTCATACTTGCCTCCTAACAGCTCTGGAATTGATGTTAGGGCCCATGTTTGTAAGAATTTGCAATTCATTCCTAAGAATTCACACTGCACAGGGCTACTTTGAATGGCCAGACAAGCTATTTCATTAATTTCCCAATTCCTGTTTGTATGCTTTTTTCAGGATACCTGCTCTGTATTAGGATTTTCAGGCGTTCTATTTATATGTGACCCTTGTCACCATGATTTTGGCCAGTTAGCAGACAGTTCTTAAGCTGAAAGCATGGGAGCTCAGCAGAAGGCTTCTGTTAGGTGTCTCTGGATTCCTGACCTCCTTTCACTAGACTCTGAGTGCCCAGCTTTTCAGTACAGAAATCTCAAGAAGAAAAATCTGAGAAAGAGAGGGAAAACTTCCCTTTGTCTCCTGATGAGAAACTTCACACATTGCTAAATATTTTAAAGTAAGATTTAACCTTGAAAAAAATTAAGAAATACAAGCAGTTAATTTTTATACTCTCCTGCCTGTTGACCTCCCTTTGCTACCCCATCCCTGTAACCCAGCTTTCCTCTGCTCCACTTCCCCCCTTTCTGGGTGAGAACCAGATAATTCTCAACCTGGACTTCTATAAGCCCTCAGTTACATTGTGCATTTCTCATATCACTATTATAAAAACTGATAGATAAAATAGAGACTTTCCCTAAAATTTTTTTTTTGACATTATTTTCATAGACTTTCTAAGAATACTGGCTAAACCCAAAGAGTAGGTTAAATGGGAAAATTTTAGAGTATTAGAAATATTTTTAATTTGGAGGACCTTTTGATTTTTTTTTTGCCATGGCACACATTGATAATAACATAATAATGATAATACCACTTCTAGGAAATGATGCTAAGGAAATTACCAGACATGTGGACCAGGATTTATTTGTAGAGATGTTTGTCATAGGGCTATTTTTCAGCAAAGGCCCTTGATTTTCACAAAGTATATATATCCCAAGATCTTTGCAAATTTCCAAATCCCATGATGGCTTATAATTTCCCTAGTAAAATGCAGAACTGAAATATTTAAGTAACCTCTTTAGACCCTTAATTTATATACCATTATAATTTATAATGCATTTTTGATGTCATTAAAATACATTCTTACAAAAGCACTCACAGCATGTTTAAGAATCACTTTTTCTTTTTTTCCTATAAGTTGATCTTGTTTATATCATAGATCTAGCCTTGGGAAAATTTGATATTCTACTCTGATTTATCTAAATCTTCTATTTTCTAGCTTAGAACTTTTATTTTCTTTGACTTCTTTAACTTTTCTTCACTTCCATCACCAGCTTTATAAGCATGTTTCCTTCGGGGGAGGCATTTTACAGGAAGGCACAGCTTTGTTTCGTTTTTATCAGTTATGAGTTACTGCCTATGGCACAATGACTGGAGCATAACTGCAGTGAGTTTGAGATTTAAATTCCAGGAGCATGGCGAGTTTCATTCCCTGGCTCTGGAACTCTGCCCACGCAGCAGTCACACAGGTCCAGATTTAGACCAGTGCTCCAGAAAAACAGCAAATACTGATTCATCAGAGACTTTTCTTGGTCATAGCATTATGTAGTGAAAAGAGAGAGACTGGGGTTCAAAAACACATGAGGCTGACTTTTTAGCCTCAGTTTAGTAACTTCTCATGGATTTCTGTTCTTCGGTTCCCTCACCCATAGAACAGGAGTGAAAATCTTCATCTTGCAAGTTTATTATGAAGATGAGTGATAATACAAGTGCCTAGCACAGGATTAATGCAAGGAACTCTTATTATCCTTGCAAGAAATACAGTCTTGGCAAATGGCATTAAATCTTCAAATGCTAAGCAAAAATTAGAAAAATCTTAAAAGCTTCCAAAGAGGAGAAAGCTAAAATAAATTATGCTGTGTAGATATGATACAACCATTCAAAATTAGATTCACAAAGAACTTTTGATGACCAGAGAAATTCTCACACTTGGGGTAAAAACAGCAGGAACCAGACATTTTTGAACTCTATGATAAATATATGGAAACACACACACATATACACACACACACAGCATGAAAGAAACTCTATAAATACTGGTTATCCATGGGGGTGGGACTATTAGTAATTTTTATTTTCTACTGTAAACATCTTGTATTTTCCAATTTATCTATAATAAGCATATATTGGCTTTATACAAAGAAAAATTATTTTTAAATATTTGACACATACTTGGCTATGCTTTCTGACTGCAGGGGGCATGGACACTGTTTAACATTTACACGCTAATTGGCCTGGATATTACACAGCTGTATCTGGCCCAAACCAAGATGGAGATGTACTCTCTAGCATCGGTGAGAATTGGTCTGTCTAGGATGTCATTTTGAATGCCTCAACTGTGGGGATAAAGTGGAAAACAAAAATTTGCCTCTGGCAAACATCATGGATAATGTGACAGCAGGATGATAAAATTTACAGAAGAACATGATCATGAGCTTTATATTTTGTTTCAGTGCATACTGCATTTTAGTTCTATCTTGGGTAAACCTGAGTATTTCTCTGGGTTAATCACTATGTCTAGGCTTACAGTTTGAACCACTCCTAAAAAGTCTAAATTTGAACTCCTAATGCCTTCTAGTAATGGTGCTTCAGTAAGTGTATTCCTTAAAACTAAATGTCTAAATCTAGTTTTAATTTATTATTAATTCTTAACTTTTGTTTTGGCAGGTGAAGTTCATGATGACATGGGTCAGAAGACAGATATAACTAAGGTGTGGAGGTGACAAATTTCATTCTCACTTTTAATTTCAAATTGTACATGTGTTTTTAAAATGATGAGTTCCTGGAGGACTGATTTCCACTGTGAACAGATGAAATATTTAATATATAACTTTTAAAAAATAGATTCATATGGTTCAAAATCCCTTCTGTGGAGGTCCCTCAACCACAGAGTTTCCTTTTTTTATTATTCTTTTAGAGATATTTCTGTGTATACAAGGAAGTATTTTTCTCCACTTTTTATGTAGGCGGTAGCATACTATCTATACCATTCTTAACTTTCTTTCTCAGTGATATATTTGAGATCTTTCTAGATTAGTGGAATTGGAAAATGAAATTGCTAAATCAAAAGGTATGTGCATTTGTAATTGATAAATACTGCCATTGTCTTTAAAATTTTTACCAATTTATCCTGCCACAAACGATGTACAAGAGTGGTTTTCCCCACCCTTACCAACACGACGTTTTGTCAGAGTTTTTGATAGTTGACAAGACTATGTGAAATGATATGTTAGTTTGGTTCTGGTTCTAATTTATCTTATGAGCGAGGTTGGACATCTTTTTATATTTTTAATAGTTTATTGCATTTCATCTTTACCCATTTTTCTGTTGGTTTGTCATCCACCCATGGTTTCTGTAAATAAATGTCACTTGTTGTGTTAAGCTATTTTCTCAGTGTGCTACTAGATTCTGTTTGCTAATGCTTTATTTCGATATGTGCCTGTGGGTTTGTAAGACACATCAGTCCTCAGTGGTTTTGGGGGGTAGTAATGTCTGTTTTGCTACCAATGTTCTATTTACTTTAGAAAGAGATAATTTTTCTTATTTTTCCTTATTTTTGTATTCTGTGAGACAGTTTATATAACATCAAAATGATCTATGCCTTAAAGTAAAGAAGTGTCTTATGATCCTTTTAATTTTCTCTTTGTGGCTATTTAAAAAAATAATTTCTTATTTTTGTTTGTCTTTTTCCTTTTCTATCTTGATTACATTAGAAATTTGTCCCCTTCTTCTACAGAAAAAGTGCAGCTTTGGGTTTTATTTATTATTTGTATATATTTTCCTGTGTTTTAATCAATAGTCTCTGCTTTTATCCTTATTAATGCTTTCTTTCTTCATTCTTTAAGTTTTTTTTCTAACTTCATACTTGGATGCTTAACTTATTAATTTCATTGTTCCTTTTTAATATACAAATATTTATGTTCTTCATTTTTCTCTGAGCACTTCTTTAATTTTATCACATAGATTTGGCCTGTAGTTTATTAAACTAATTTTATTTTTGTCATATCAGTTTGAATAACCACATTGAAACATAAGTTTTTAAGGAAGAGTTTTAAAATTCCCAAGTGATAGAGGTTTCCCTCCTAAGTTTATTGCACTTTTAATAAAAGAACAGATTTGTATTGTATCTACTTCTTGGAATTTATTGGGGTTCTCCTTGTGACTTAATACAGTCAATTGTTGTCAATGTTCCAGGCTTCTTTTTTTTTTTTTAATAATTTTTTTATTGTTATGTTAACGACCATACATTACATCATTAGTTTTTGATGCAGTGTTCCATGATTCATTGTTTGTGCATAACACCCAGTGCTCCACGCAGAATGTGCCCTCTTTAATACCCATCACCAGGCTAACCCATCCCCCCACCCCCCTCCCCTCTAGAACCCTCAGTTTGTTTTTCAGAGTCCATCGTCTCTAATGGTTCGTCTCCCCCCCGACTTACTCCCCTTCATTCTTCCCCTCCTGCTATCTTCTTCTTCTTCTTCTTTTTTTTCTTAACATATATTGCATTATTTGTTTCAGAAGTACAGATCCGTGATTCCTCAGTCTTGTACAATTCACAGTGCTCACCATAGCACATACCCTCAATATTCCAGGCTTCTTAAAAGGAAATGTATGTATATTCTGTTTTCAAGGTATAAAGTTAGCTAGATGTCAGTTAGTTCTACCTTGTAAATTATATTATTTAGGTCTTCTATTTCATTATTATCTTTTATCTATATCACCTGTTAGCATAAAAGAGGGTAATCAAAATATTTTGAAAATCTCTTTCTCTATATATAACTCCTATATAGCCTGAAATCTTTGTTTTACAAGTATTGATGCTAGTTGAGGGTAAATTGATATTCATAGTGGTTACATTTTTATTATGAATTACACAATTTAACATTAAAACAGCTCTCCTTTGACTCATTTAATTCTTCTTGGCCTGAATTCAACCTTATTTGATGCTAATGTCACAACTTCTGGTTTCTTTTCATTTGCATGTGCCCACCTGTTATATTTTGTGTTTCTGAATGACTTTATGTGTGTCTTGTGTGTACAGCATAGGATTGGAGTTTGCTTTGCATTCCAATCTTTTAAAAATTGAGTTTGGGCCATCTATCTAGGGCTGAATATTTTCTTAGTTATAATATTTTAGGTTGTACTTTGTGTCCAACAATAATTTGTGTTTAATAATTCTTTATATGGATTCTTTATTCTGTATGTATGTGTTTCTTATAATGTTTAGAAATATTAAAAAGTATTTCATTGTTTTTCTACCATATACTTTAAGGGTTTACATAGTATTTTTAATACTTTTTTTTAAGGCAGTGTCTATTAATTTCCTAATATGAACAATGATGAAATTATATTTCTCCTTCTTTCCCTCATATTTTCCTATTTTTATATTTTATATTTTTATATTTTTCTTAATCCTAAATATATATTTTTATTAGTTGATTTGAAACTTTACATATCATCTGACCTTCAAATAATAAAATGAAGAAATCCATATCTTCCATTTTTTTAGCTGTCTTTTCATCTTGCATAGTCAAGGTATACCATATAGATATTTTGTTTTGGCATCTTAATCTCTCTATTTCTTTTAGACTTAGTCCTTCAGTTTAAGGGATTTAGTGCTCACCCCTAACTAGTCCTTTACTAATGATTTTTCCAGTTATCTCTTATTTGGATGAAGTTCATCCTCTAGTTTCAAGAAGGTTCATAACAAACATGAACTATGTACTGAATTTATACTCGAATGACAGCTTGATTGGCTGTCTCTTAATCTCTTAATCTCAGGAAACAAACTGAGGGTTGCTGGAGTGGAGGGTGGGAGGGATGTGTTGGCTGGGTGATGGACCATGGGGAGGGTATGTGCTATGGTGAGCGCTGTGAATTGTGTAAGACTGATGAATCACAGACCTGTACCTCTGAAACAAATAATACATTATATGTTAATAAAAGAGTCTCTTATGGTTTGTCTTCCTCTCTGGTTTCGTCTTGTTTCATTTTCCCCTCTCTTCCCCTATGATCCTCTGCCTTCTTTCTCAAATTCCCCATATCATTGAGATCATATGATAATTGTCTTTCTATGATTGACTTATTTCACTTAGCATAATACCCTCTGGTTCCATCCACGTCATTGCAAATGGCAAGATTTCATTTTTTTTTTGATGGCTACTCAACACATTTTTAAGTGTACTGTTATTAAACTGTTATTAACAATACTCATGAAGTTGCACAGTAGATCTCTAGAACTTTCTCAGCTTGCATGACAGAAACTCTATAAACTGTTATTAACAATACTCATGAAGTTGCACAGTAGATCTCTAGAACTTTCTCAGCTTGCATGACAGAAACTCTATACGTATTCAACAGCAATTCCCCATTTCCCCATTCCCCCATTCCTCCAGCCCCTGGAAACAACCATTCTACTTTCTGTTTCTATGAGTTTTACTATTTTGGTACCTCAGATAAGTGGAATAATGCAGCAATTGTTCTTTTGTAATTGACTTGTTTCACTTAAACATGTGCCTTTAGGGTTCATTCATGTTGTGGCATAAAGACAGGATTCTCTTCTTTCTTTATGGCTGGATAATATTCCATTGTATCTGTATACCACATATTCCTTATTCATTCATTTGTTGATGGATGTTTATGTTGTTTCTGCCTCTTGGCTATTGTAAATAAAGCTGCAATGAACATGTGAGTGCAAATATCTCTTCAAGATTCCAATTTTAATCCTATCATTGTATTATGCAGTCTCTCCAGAGAGATCTGAGAAAGTACTCTAATAAAACACATTAATATTTTTGCATTGGAAAATATTAATTCATACTAAGTGGACTAAAGTCTATAATTAGACACATACCATTCTAGGTCAGATTTTGCTTCCAATATGAATTCAAGTCAGATCAGGTTTTGCCATTGGGTAGGTTTTGAAAAAAAAAACCAAAACATCATTTTTAGGGCTTCTTTGTATGTTGGAGTTGCAGTAAGTATTTGAGGATCTGTACAGCCATTGGATATTTTTTTTCCTTATGCTTTTGGAAGGGTCACTGCTTTGGTACTTGGCTCTGAAAGGAGAAGATAATATTTAACAGTAATGAGGAAATAAAGCCATTGTAGTGCCAGATGTTTGAGGCTGAAAAATCATACAAGCACTAAAAATACATAGAGGAAGTGTTTTTGAATTTTAGAAGATTGTTGTTGGAAGGAGGTGTATAGTTTTTTTTCTACTGTTCTCCTACAGAAAAATGAGCCTGTGGATTTCTCAGTCAATCCCCAAGCAGATACAACATTTCAGTTCTTTGACCACCATCTGATGGAATCTGTTAAGCTGGGGGATTCCAAAGTGTATGAATTTCTTCGATTACTTGCCCTTTGTCACACCGTAATGTCGGAGAAAAATAGTGCAGGTAAGTACATAGCATGTCTGAGTGGTGAGCTTTGCTTTTTAAATCAGAAATGATACTTCTATAAAATATTTGGAGTTAGAAAGATGTTCTGATTAAAAGTATACATTGCGTAAGGGGTTTACCTATCACCAGCTTTTCTTTGTATGAATTTATATCCTGAGTGTTTTCCAAGAATTATGGAGAGACTGCAAAGGAGAGAAAAAGAAGAGAAATAGGAGTAATAGAAAGATGAGGGCCCAAATGTGCAAGTACAAGGGGATGAAATCTTTCTAATGATCAAGCACCATATTTGACCGTGAGCTTCCTGATGGCCAGGACAAGTAGGAAAATAACAGTTGAGGTGTTTAGCTCTCATCATTAACACAAACATCTAATAGATGATGATCAGGCATATGCATAGAGTGAATGAGTTTTCCCAATAATGGGGATAGATGTACACAGAGAGTAGGATGCTCTTAGTCCCCATTATGAACAAGTCCTCACACTATTAAGATGGTTGTGTAGGGCTCAGGTTCATAGAATTGAACAAAATCAGCTGGGCCACTTTAATATTGAAGCAATGAGGCAGGTAGATAATGGTATAGTGAATCAGCTTCTTGCTCCAATTGAGCCCAGTCTATTCCATTTATAAGTTTTATTTCTTTCTGCTACCAGTGAGTGAGTAAAAATTACCACCCAAGTAATTTCAACTTCAAAGTGAAATATATGAAGACTGTTGACTCTATATATGTATGCATGTATCTCATATATATGTGTGTATATATGTACATATATACACTTGTATATGTTTTTTCTATTTTTTTCTTTATTTTTTTCCTTGCAATTACATTCAAGCCATAGTTTTGTCCTCCATGTTGCTGGACTGACCCATTCCCCATTTTTAATTGCTGTGAGGACTCAAACTGATTTATGACTCCAACTGATCTTTATAATTCTAAGACCAATGATTAATTATATTTTTATCTGAGGATATCACAGTGCCTTTAAGTAAGGCATTCTTTTTATCTTTGCCCTTTGTTTATTTCATTTCCAAAACTGTTTTTATTTTAATAGCTATCTGTTTTTATTTTAATGTTATATCCTGCTTAGAGCTCTTTGAGGATCTTTATTTTCTTAATTTAAAATTTTCTTTTGTTTCCTCTATGATTTTTCATTTTATAGAATGTTATTTTTTGAATTCTGTGTCTAATTTTCATATTGTTCTCAAATGTTTGATGAATTGTGGTTGCCTATTCTTATTTGTATTTGAGAATCCCTGTTTGTCCCTTGCTGAATGTAGATTCTGATTACAGTGGCCAATCTCCCGAAATTGTGGGGGAGAGATAGAACACATAGCTCATCTTCTGGGTGTGGGGTTCCTCCCTCCAGGAATTCATATGGTATCTGGGCTTAACTATCTTACTTTTTCAGATCTAGTGCTAGGAGTCTGTGGCAAAACTCCCACTTGAGAGAGAGTTGTATTGAAGGTCTGGCCTGGAAGAAAATGTCAATCATCGGATTCCTTTCCCTTATTTTCTCTCTTCTTCTTGTGGAATTCTCAAGCAATTCAGGCTCTTCTCAGTTTTGGTCTCCAGCTGCAGCACTCAAATGTTGAGGTTTCCTTTAGTGGAAAGTACACTTTGTGTAGAAGAACATTTTCAAGGTTTTGTTTTGGAGGCAACTGTCACTGAAGCCTGTTCTGAGTAAGCTGGCAGAAGGAGGAGCTCAAATGGGCTGGAGTGCTGAGTGGAATTCTTCAACTAATTTTACTAATGATGCCCCCAAGAGCACTTCTGTTCTCAATTGCTGACTCTGAGTCTGGAGAATCTTTTGAGGATTTCTCTTACCTCTGTATTCATTTTCTTTTGCAAATGCTTTGGGCTGTGTTTTTCTCTTCTTCAGTGGTCAAATCTACTTTTTATCTTGCAGACATTTGTCAAAATTCTAGTTTACTGATAGTATTCATTCTTCTTTTCTAGTATCACTTAAAATTTTTTCATAATGTGATATAATTAAATGCAATAAAACACACAGATCTTGTGTGTATTGTTTGATGAATTCTGACAATTATATACACCCATGTAACCCGCATCCCCATCCCCAACAGGGTGTAAATCCTTTCTATCACTCCAGAGAGATTATTCCTGTCCCTTTTCAGTCCACAATCCCAACCCCTGCCCAGCCAACCACTGCTGTGATTTCTAACATCAGAGATGAATTTTGACTGTTCTTGTACTTCATATAAATGGAATCATACAATATATATTCTTTTATGTCTGGCTTCTTTGACACAATGTAATTTTTTTTTTAAGATTGATTTGTTCATTTTTTAGAGAGAGAGAGAGAGAGAGCATGCATGAGCAGAGGGAAGGGCAGAAGGAAAGGGAGAGAACCTCAAGCAGACTCCACTATGAGCACAGAGCCAGATGCGGGGCTCAGTCTCACGACCCTGACCAAGATCATGACCTGAGCCGAAACCAAGAGTTGGATGCTTAACTGACTGAGCCACCCAGGCACCCCTCACACAATGTAATGTTTTTGTCATTCATCCATGTTGTTGTATCAATCAGTAGTTCATTCATTTTTATTGCTGAGTAATATTACATTGTGTGAGTGTACCATAATTTTCTTTTCTAGTCCTCTGTTCATGCACATTTGGTTTGCCATAAACGTTTTTATGTCTTTAAAAAATATTTAACAAATTTGTTTTTGGTAAACACTTAGGAATAGAAATTGCCAGATCATAGTATATGTTTAACTTTATAAGTAACTGCCCAACTATTTTTCAAAAGTGGTTGTATCATTTTACAAATCCCACCATCAGTGTATGAGAGTTCTAGTACCTTGACATTCTTGCCACCATTTAGTATTATCATTCTTAAATTTTACCCATTCTCATGGGTATTGGCTAATATCCTGCCATATAAAGGCATTTTGAAGTGAAGAGATGTAGATGTATATATCCTTTAAACTGTTTCTGTCTCTTGCTTTAAGATATCAAATTCTAAGTGAAGGATTACATCATTGAGTAGGGGGAAATTATTTTGCTCTCTTTTTAAAGCTTTAATTACAGGATAGATAGCTTAAATCCATATGTTAAAGTACCTTGAAAAACAGAGTTTTCATATATAAATGTTAATTATGGAAAAGACTGAACCCAAATCTAATAAACTTAAAATTTATGATTGTATAATTTATAGTTGAAGCTATCGCTTTTATTTTAAATGTGTGCTGTTTCATGGAGAAGTCATTTGGGGAAGTTGACATTCTCATTTCCTTCTCCAGGATGAAATTTTAGAAGCAGTAAAGTGGAAAGTACCAGAGCTTTTAATAGGATTTTTTTTTTTATTTTAGTGTATTGCAATTAAAGAGATAAAAAATTTAGAATTTTTTTCTTATTGCCTCATGATATCAATCCTTCAAAATTTATTGAGGCTTGCTTTATGGCCTGGTATGTATTCAGTTTCCATAAATGTTTCATGTGTGCTTGAAATGAGTGTACATTCTACGGTTATTAGGTCCTGGGTTCTAAATATATCCATGAGATAATGTTTGTTAATTGAATTGTTCAATCTTCTAACCCTCTGTGGATTATTTTGAGTACTCGATTTCACAATTAATGAGTATGTTAAAATCATCAACTATAATGGTAAATTTGTCTTTTTCAGTTTGTAGCTGTGTCAGTGTTTGCTTTTTATGTTTTAAGGTCATGTTATTAGATATTCATTTAGACTTATGTCTCTTTAAATTAAACTTGTATCAATATACATTGATCCTCTTTATCTGTAGTAGTATTTTTGCCTTAAAGTTTATTTCGGATGATATGAATATAGTTATAGATTTTTACTTTTGTTAGTATTTGTATTGTTTATCTTTTCCCACTATTTCCTGCCAATCTACCTGTCAGTCTTTGTGTTTTAGACACATCTTTTGTGAATGACATAATTTTTGACATTTAAAAAAATATTTAGTTTGACAGAACATTTAGTCCATTACCTTTATTGATTATTGATATATTTAGACTTTAAGTATTTAATATATAATATTGGTATATTTAGTTTATTTCTACCATCTTAGTTTGTGTTTTGTATTTGCCCCATCTTGTGTCTTAGTCTCTTCTTCTTTTTTTTTTTTTCCTCTTATGGGTTTATTCCATTTTAATCTGCTTTGGAATCCTTATTTGTATTTTAGGGGTTAGCCTAGAAATTTTAGCATGATGAACTTATCAAAGTCTAAGCCTTCTTTTGAACAAAACAAAGACTTTTAGAACCCTTTAACACTAATCAACCCTCTAAGAAGAATTATATAGTCCTCTTGTCATGTATTTTCTTTTTTAATCCCACAAGATGTTTTTATTGTTTTTATAGTCACTGTTTCCTTAGATTTATCCTATATACTTACGAATTTCTATGCTCTTTAATGCTTGTCCCATCTCTGACCTTCTGTTGACATAAAGCGTATTCTTTGGAATTTCTGTTAGGGAGAACCTCCTGGTCGTAAACTTTCAAAAACTTTGTATGAAAAACAACTTTATTTCATTCTTATTCTTGAAGATTTTGCTGTGTGCAGAAATTTAAAGTGACAATTTTCTCTCAGTACACTGAAGGTACTCCACTGTATCCTGCTACTATTTCTCTTACTGTATAGTCAGCTCTCAGTCCAGTTGTCAGACTGAAGGTCGTCAGTCTTCTCTTCCTGGCTACTTTTAAGATTTCTCCTTCCATGTTCTCACTATGGGTGTGGGTTTTTATAAAATTTATATTGCCTGGAATTCACTGAGATTCATGAATCTGTAGAATGTCATCTCTCATCACTTCTGGAGTTTCCTTGGCCATGTATTTTTTCCAGCGTTGCCTCTGATTCCTTTTCCCCTCTCATATTAGATGTTCATTGTCAGATATTTTCACTCTGTTCTCTATGCCTTTTAAGAATTCTCTCATTTTTCCCTTTCTCTGTCTCTTTGGGATATATCCTGGAATTTTCTCCATCCCCCCCCCCAGTACACTACTTCTTTCTCTAGTAGTATCTAATTGGCAGCTTTTAATTTTTAATTTCTATAAGGTCTTTGATTCTTTATCAAATCTGCTTAATTTTATGACTCTCTTTTATTTTTTTGAAATCTATTAAGTATTTGTGTGTGCTTTTTCTAATAATTCCAATATCTGATGTTTTTGCAGGTCTTATTCTTTCTTTTCTTTCTGTTGGTTCTCATTGTGTCTTGTTTATTGGGATTTTAATGATTTTTCACTGTGAGATGACCATTTTACTTGGAAGTTTATTTTTAGAAATTCTTTGGGTCCTAAGGTGAAGACTGGTTCCTCCAGAGAGGACTTGCTTTGCTTCGGTCAGTGTTCTAATACAGGAACATATTAAACTAAATTTTTTGTTTGATTTTTTTCAAGCCACTTAGATATTATGAATTTAGGGTGCAAATATGCACGAACCCTCAGAGGCTGGAAACCAATGATCAAGTTCTCCTGGTTCAGAAAATGCCCTCAAGGCAAACGCTGGCTACAGTCTTCTTTTATTCGTTTTATTTTTTCCCTCAGTCTTTGACCTGAAAAATTCTTGTTTTCTTGCCAGTACATCTTTCATGACTGTATTTAAAAAATTAAAATGTTTTATACAGAATCTGTAGTTGTTTGTAGCAGAGAAGTTGGTCCTGGCACCTAGTTTACCATGTGGCCAGAAGTGGAAGTTATATAATTTCATAGGTAAATCAAGTAATTGCTTTAATTCTTTTCCCTTTTTGAATTTCAAAATTAATTTATGCCTACCATATAAGGGAAAACCACACAGTACAAAGTTTATAAAGGCAGAGCTAATAATTTCTTCCATGAACTCCTCCAGTCTCACCCCTACAGTGGTAACCAATGATAACATTTGGTGTGCATCATTTTACCCTTTCCACTTTGTATGTGTGTGTGTGTGTGTGTGTGTGTGTGTGTATGAATATACATGATAAGTAGGTGGTTTATTTTTTATGAAAAGGAATCATAGTATACACATTAATATGCAATTCATTTTTTTAAGAATTTATCTTGGACATTACTATAACTCAGTAAATATGGATATAGCTCTGCCTACTTTTTCTAATGTATTTTTACAAAGATAATAGAATTTTATATAGAAGGTTTTACCTTATACATGCTGTATTTTTATGGCTTTTTGTTTTTTGTTTTAGTTTGTTTTTTTGGCTCATTTCATTATTTTTCTTTCTTCTCCCCTCTTACTCCCAGCCCAATACTTTCACAATATCAAGCACCAAGAATGAACACCCCAGTTTGATTTCAAGGGTATCTTGTATGCATTCTCATAAAATGGTCATTAGTAGCAGACTGAAGTGGAATTTGGAATACCTGCTCTATTACTCTTTGGCTGTGTGATCTTGCAAAAATCATATAACCTCTCTAGTCATAGGTCAGTGGCATAAAATGGAAATAATAATTTTAATAATCCCTACCTCAGGGCTTTCTGTGAGGATTATGTGAGTTAATTCATATTAAGTGTTTTAGTTTGTGAAACTTGCACTGCACATCTCTAGTCACTGAAAATACAAAGATACAGCCTCTGACCTGAGAAACTTTCAGCATGGTGGAAAGGGAGATGCAGAAATGGGTATTTTTGTATAAGATGACAAGGGCTGTGGTGGTGGTATGCCTGGTGTCCTGTAGTATCCCGCAGGACGGGCACTTGATCCAGCTGGTTGGCAAGTAGAAAAGTTCTGATTTCTGGAGCTAACACTTGAGTTCAGTGTTATAGATGAAGTGACATTAGTATTGGCATTCTGTGAATGTTAGCGAGAATGTTACTGAGAATTCAGTATTAACGTATTTGGTTTTTTTCCTTTTTTGTTTAATAGATTTTTTTTTTTGCTGTTGTTTAACATGATAGTTTCTTTTCCTTTTAGGACAGCTGATTTACCAAGTTCAGTCACCTGATGAGGGGGCTTTAGTGACTGCTGCAAGAAATTTTGGGTTCATTTTTAAGTCTCGAACCCCAGAGACAATAACTGTAGAAGAATTGGGAACACTGGTTACTTACCAACTGCTTGCCTTCTTGGACTTCAACAATATCAGAAAAAGGATGTCTGTCATAGGTATGGCTGGTAGCTGAGCTTATGTTTGATCTTTTAATGGTACTTGTTACATTGCTGCTTCTCAAGAATGATTTCACTCTTGGTTATGTACTGAGAGTTATGATTTTTTGTGTGACTTTATGAACTTTTCATTTTCAACTTAGCCTTAACACTGCAGTAGTAAGTAATATATAAAAGTGCTTATTAAGTCCAGCACTATTGTAGATGCTCCTCATGAATTAACTGATTTAACTGTCACAACAACCCTATAAGGTAGGTACTATTATTTTTATGCCCATTTTAAAGATAAAACTGAGACACAGAGGATTAATAGATCCTCAAATACTACTCCTGTGTTTCCTAGAGATGTTTCCCAGTATAACTGCTTTAGTTAAGGCTCTCACCACTACTTATATTATTGCAGTATCGTCAAAAACTTAATACTCTGTGTTGGTACCAGGGTATTCTTTCTAAAACATTGGCCTGATTTTGCCATAAATCCTACATAAAATCCTTGGTGGCTTCCTAGAACTTAGAGGGTAACATTTTTAGCAGGATAGTCAAGATTATTTACAATCTGACCTCAATCTACTTCTCTTCTACTTCCCCAAACTTCCCAAGCCTCATTAGATCTTGCCATTCCAGGCATGCATTGTGTACTTTTACCCTTTGTGTGTGCTATTTTCTCTACCTAGGATTTTCCTCTTGCCTACTTCTCTTGGAAAACTTCTAGTCACCTGGAAATGTCCAACTTAAATGTCCCCTACTCCCTCAATTCTTTTTCTACTCTCCAAATAACTGCATTCTTCTCTTCCTCAGAGCACCTTGTTCATAACACCAGTGTGCTACCAGCCCCATGATACTCATGATCTTCCCAGTTGTTAGAGTATGTGCTATGTGAGGGCAGTACTGTGTTTTAGTCGTCTTAAAATGCCCAGAGCTTGGCACATAGTAGATTTTCTATAAATGTTTATTAAATAAGATTTAACCCAATACGTTGTAATTTACAAATATCCTGATCATCATATTAAATCAGTTTCTACTACAGAAAACAGGTGTATACATGGCAGGTTTTTGGCCTCTAACTACTTGAAACTAGCTGTGGGAGATTGCTCTCAGCAGGTAAAAACCAAACATCATCTGAGGATGTTTATGTTTGTTTGTTTGTTTGTTTATTTATTTATTTATTTTTGAGCAGGCTGTAGGCAGTCCTCATTGGTACTGCTGAAGAGCACATATGCTGCTCTAGGCTTTGGTCTAATGATGTATTAGCAGAAGTAATCTTCTATTTACAGCTTCAGGGAAGGTGTTACTAATGTTGGGTTGGCCTAGAACTGGCTTCTCTTTGCTATGAAGGTGTTGACAAAAACCTAAAATTGCTACACGGGGAAACTTTTGGCTTTCCCACAGCATCAGTCACCACTACGGGCAATGGAGAAATCACAGCCTAACCACAAACTTCAGATGTTTGGCTTAAAGGATCCCATATGAAGAAAGGTGATGTTCCACCACAGAATGCATGGAAGCTTGTGGGCTTTATTTTGGTTCTGTTTGGTTTTCAATCAGGAGAATTTGAAAGAGGGGCTCCACTAGGGTAGAAAAATCTCTTTGATAATAAGGCAGAAAAAAACAATGCTAGTCTCATGACTGTCACATGGCTTGGTCTGTGGGGACAACACCCTGATGTGAGGACTCACATATTTGCTGCTGTTGCTTCTCTCCCCCTCCTTCTCATCCTTCTCCCCCTCCTTCTCTGCTTCCTCCTCCTCCTTTTTTTCTTCTTCCTCCTCTTCTTCCTTCTCTTCCTCCTCCTCTTTCTTCTCCATCTCTGTTTCCTCTTTCTCCTCCCCCCTTTTTTTTGAAGGGGGTGCTATCATTGATTGAATCATAAATGTGTAGTTTTGATACTAGTACTACTTTCATTCCAGGGCAAGAGCCCTGATTTAATTCAGGTACCTCAATAAAAATAGATTTCTATAAAGAATTTTGTCAGAGGGTATAGAATCTACTATATTGTTAAATATATAGATCTTGTTATACAGTTTTTTTTTTTTTTTGTTATACAGTTTTAAAAGGACCAATTCTCATTGTGTAAATACAAATACGGAGATAAAATTCAAAGATACTAATTAATAGAGGCAAGTGGCAGTAAACATTAAGGAAGAATAAATTAGGCTAGCTCCTTCAAAAACCCTTGCAAGATCTTTAGAAAGAGTTGCTCAACTCTAAACTTTTTAGAGAGGATCAAAATACAAATCACACTGCCATATAACAGGCATTTCTCTGTGTGGACATATGAACAGCCATCCAACTGAAATATGGCAAAATAGAATTACTCATCACCCTTCACAGTGTTGCTATTGCATTTACTCCTATAGCATACACCTGGAAACCATTTCTGACCTTTTTCTTTTTTTATGTCACAAAGGCATAGCTTCTGTTTTCAATGAATTTTGCATAATTATAATTCAACTCAATTAAGCAAATATTTAGTAAGTGCCTACCATGTCCTAGGGACTTGATGCTGAGGGAGAATGTGGAATTGAAAAGTGTTCTGTGTGATTGCACCCAGGAGAAGATGGTGAAATAGGGTAGGAAGTAGGCTGGAAAAGGACAGGTCTTAATGATTCCTGTTTATGCCATGTTAAGCGTGTCCAAACTTGATCTAAGGGCATATGGAGGCTATTGCAGGATTCTAAGCAGTAGTGTGAAGATGACTCTGGCTGGATTACAGAAGAGTTTGGAGAGAAGCAGGGTTGAAATGAATAAAACCATTTGGGTTAATGTGATAATATAGGCAAGCGATAAGATGATGAAGAGAAATTCATGGCTGCAGTTGGGTGTATGGGTGGTGGAGGGGGAGGAGCTTCGCGTATGGCTGGATATCTGATTTGGGAGACTGAGTGAATGGTGAAGCTGGTTATTGAGATGGAGACATAAGAGAAATACCTAGTTATTGGAGGACGATAAGGTGTCCAGTTTGAGTTTGGTGTGTGTGAGCACATCCAAAAGGAGATATCTAATTGGTGGTTGGATGTACAGATTGGAAGGGAATGCTGGAGATAGATTTGGGCATTAAAAGCAATCATTCTGTCATTGGAACCTGAAGCCATAGAAATGAATGTGACTACATGGAGATTGGAAGGGGAATTAGATCCTAGGAAAATCTTTGAAGAACACCAATATATAAAGGACTGGCAATGGGAGAATTTATAACTAAAAATCTATGATTTTTGTCCAGACTCTGTCCACATGTTATCTTGACCATTTAAAACTGTTGTTCTTTTTAATTCAATTTTTTTTGAGAGAGAGAGAGAGAGAGAGGGTCAGGGGAGGGGCAGAGGGAGAGAGAGAATCTGGAGCAGACTTCCCACTGAGCGTGGAGCCCAACACGGGGCTCAGTCCCATGACTCTGACATCATAACCTGAGCCAAAATCAGGAGTCGGATGCTTAACTGACTGAGCCACCCAGGCACCTCTCTTTTTAATTCATTTTAAAAAGGCTAACTTCTGAAATAAGTGAGATTTGATTAGCCTTGAGATTTCCTAGCAGAAATGACTAGAAGCCTTGAATGAAGAGATACAAAACTTGCTGAGCTGCAAAAGGAAAGGTTTAGTGAGTAAAATTAAGCAAGATTCCATGAAATTGGATTTACCCAAACTCAAATTTAAAGGGACTAATGCTGGGTTAAGAAAAAACATGGAAGAAATGGAAAATCTTTACTGAATGAGAAACATGTAGATTGAAAAGGACCCTAGAAGTTAGAGTGTTTAAATATCCCCTTTTCATATGTAGAAACCGAGATGAAGAGATGGTAAGGGATTTGCACAAATCATAATTGGTTTGTGATTTCCTAGACCAGTGATTCTCCATGTGTGGTCTAGGGAACCCTAAGAAAACTTGGGAGCTTTTCAGAGGATGCACAAGGACAAAAACATTTTCATAATAATACTAATGTTATTTGTCTTTTTCATTCTTTTTCTCATGAGTATACTGTGGAGTTTTATAAAAGCCACATGATGTGTGATATCACAACAGATTGAACCACAGAAGCAGATATGAGAATGCGACCATCTTTTAAGCCAGACATTAAAGAGAACTGTAGTCATGTAAAACAATGCCACTCTCCAAACTAATTTTTTTTTCTGTTGTGGAAATTATAATTATTTTCATAGAAATGTTATTTATGTTAATATGTAATATGTTTATTATCAAAATTATAGTCACTATTATAGTAATATAACTAGTGTCATAAGACCATTGATATAATAAAATTTTTCAACTTTAATTTCTAATATGGTAAATATTGATAAATATAACCCGCTTTACAAAAGCCCTGGCGTTCTCACAAAGTTTTAATAGTGTATAGGGGTTCTGAGACCAAAAAGTTTGAGAACTGCTGTCCTAGCCTGGACTATAAACAACAGTCACAGAGAAGTCATACTGGTAAAAGTAGGATGTACATACTTGGACTTTATAGCTCTGGTGATAGAAGGGAGAAAATAAGGGGGAAATTATTAAATTGGATTGCTGTAGAAGAAAAGCAAAAGAAAGCTAGGATTAAATATTCCCTCTCCCCCCAGCTTGAACAATTAGATAAATTATATATGCTTTTTTCCTTTTCCCCAACGTGGGCAATTAGAGCCAGAATACAAGAACTGCATGAATTCTGGCAACTAGGAGAGCTGACCAAGGGTTTTAGGAGAGAAGACAAGCCCTAGACAAGTCTCAATACAAAAAAGTTTCCAGGGTGCATTAAATATATTCAAAGCTAGGAGGACACTAGAATAGATCAAGTCTAAGTAAGAGTAAAGATAAGAAGGGAGATTAATTTATTATACTTTGGTATTTATATTCCTTTAAGTCAAGCTCTAAATTTTATATTCTGTTAAATTAATAGTAGTCAGTATTTATGTTCATTTGTGTTGAGGCATTCTACTTTAGAGAAAAGGTACAATTGAGTGGAAAGCATGTAACAATCTTTGCTATGATGAAGCTGGTAATGGTCAGTGTTCAGACCATTACGTTGTGACCCAGAAAGTTGTCTTAAATTGTAGATAATTCCTGGAAAGAAATATATTACCATGTCATTCATATATTCATTCATTCATTCATTTGTTCACTCATTAGTTCATTCATTCATTCATTCATTCAAACAAATAATTAAGGGCCTAGTATGTGCCAAGGTGTAAAACCAAGCCTACAAATGTAGGCCAAGGATTCCGTAGTTTAAAAAAAGATTTGACAGCAATATGTGGGACAGCCAGGGGAAGGCTTAAAGACTGAAATGAAGGGGATCCTTGTCAGGGCTGTCATTCCCAAATGTGGGGAGGGGGGCAGATCAAAAACATAGCCCTAACTGATACAGAATTCCAGTTAAAAGAAGGTAGAAACTAATTTTGAAAGCCCCATGTGAGGTATGCTTGCAGGCCAGGACTGTGACTGAAAAAATCAACCACCAAGAGTGAAAGGGCTTTTCCAATGAGTAAAGAGGGTAAAGAAAAACATCAGCAAGGACTGAAAACTAGTGTGTAAACCATGGCTTTGAATGGCTAGAATTCCATGTGGAGATCATTTGGCATAACAGTGATAGTTGATTCCTACAGTAGGTCTTGAGTTTCGCACTAGGAGACAGGCAAAGCTTTCTTTCAATTCTGTTCAATCCAGAAGGCTTAATTTGAATTTATCAACCCTTCAAAATAGTAGGCAAGGAAAATGGTAAGGTCATACACATCTGAATAAAGTTGTTTCTGAGTTTGGGAAATCAAAGGATTCCAGTAGATGGAATATTTCTAAGTAAATAGAACAGGAATAAGGCCAAGTGACTTAGATAGTGACCTTCTAATTAAAGGCACTGAATATTTTACTACTGGCTAAAACATTATGCCCATTTCCAAATTTCCTGGCTGGAGCCCTAGGAAAGTCTAGTTTTGACAGATTTCATTGATTATTTCCTATGCAAAATTTTTCATTTCAGTTCGAAACCCAGAAGGACAGATAAAGCTTTATTCCAAAGGAGCAGACACTATTCTATTTGAAAAACTTCATCCATCCAATGAAGACCTTCTGACTTTGACGACAAACCATCTCAGTGTAAGTGCTTCTGTCTGAAGGTTAGCACGATGGCCCTTTGGCCGCTTCCTATGATTAGGTCTAATTTTTAAAATATCAGCAAAATGATCTGACTTTTAAAAAAAAATTTTATTGTGTTATGTTAGTCTCCATACAGTACATCATTAATTTTTGATGTAGTGTTCCATGATTCATTGTTTGCTTATAACACCCAGTGCTCCATGCAATACATGCCGTGCCCTCCTTAATCACCAGGCTAACCCATTCCCCGACCCCCCTCCCCTCTAAAACCTTCAGTTTGATTCCTGGAGTCCATAGTCTCTCATGGTTCGTCTCCCTGCTCCGATTCCCCACCCCCTTCATTTTCCCCTTCCTTCTCCTAATGATCCGACTTTTGAAATAGAAAGCACAGGAAACTGTGCCAGTGAATATCTGGAACCTGGCACATGGACCCCTCTCTGTGGCCTGCTGAAAGTCTGATCAGTCTTACCACAGATGGATTAACACACAGCAGCTGTGAAATAGCTGCTGAGCGTACGCTCTTGAACTCTGGCCAGGGAAAGGCTCAGGACACCTAGGGAAACCTGCTCTAACTCCTCTGCAGTTTGAGGCTTCTTCCCTTGGAGACTGGTTCTGGAAAGAGGAGCAGGACAGTTGCTTTCTCTTGGGTTCTAATGTGTCTGACACCAATGGAGTTTCTTATGATTCCCCCCCCCACCCCCGCCGCCACCCAGGGAATAGCTTAGGGTCATGCTTAGATGCTGAGGGGAAAATAGTAGCCAACTTTCTCCTCCAGGGGTCCTTCTGTTCAGGTCATAAATCATGATGAGTCACTTATATTCTTTATGTTGAAGCTACCAAATGCACATACTCTGAGGCTATGCATAATTTCTTTACAAAAGCTTTTTGAAGGGAGCAGGTGTAATCTTTAGCATATATTTATGCCATATAAATTTGGCACATATATTTTGGCAAAAGAATAAGAGTCTATGAATTAATATGAACATTAACCTGGTTTAAACCTGAAGATTCAAGTGTCTCTCTAATATTTATTTGAGGTTCCATTTAGCCGAAAATGAACTTTAAGGGCAACTGGTCAAAACTCTCATATCCTCATTGGCTTCTCTCCTTTAAAAAATTATTGAGGATTCATGTCCTTTGTCAAGCCCTATATTTAATACAAAACATTCCCTGGATCTTTAAAAAACAAACAAATAAATAAAACAAAACAAAAAAATCCCTCTGCCTGACTTTAAGTTTAAAGAATGATGGTTTAGTAATATTGGGTACAAACATAGCTATTGTTTTTGTCTTTCCAATAGAACATTCTTGATTTTCTTTTAATCTCTTCCAGAAGGCTGGCATGGTCTTTTTAATTTTTTTTTTAATGAAAACAACATTAGAATCATAAGTATCTGATTTTTGCCATTGCTCAAACGCCAAAGGCTTTGGATTTTCATACGTTTTCCTTTCAAACTAAAGTATAGGAAGTCTAATTTGGTCTTTTTATATTTCTATGCAAAAGAGGTTTTTTCCAGGTAATGTCAATTTGACTTGCTCTTTGCTTCATTCACTTTATTCATTTTGACTTTAAATTCTGAGGTTTTCAATTTATACTTAATAATTGATTTTGAATTGTTTAATGGTAGGAAATGACCTTGCTCAAATGCTCATTTAGGATTAAACTTGTGATTCATGCACTAATTAAATAACTTAAATCATCTGTCCCCTTTTGTAATGCCATTTTGAGTTGATTCACTGTTGTACAGAACAGGGAGGAAAGCACTGGTCATGCCCAGTGTGGTTGCAAGTTAAAGGCAAAGAAGTGTTTCTGTGAATTAAGGGGACAAAAGATCATTACTAGGCAGTAACTAGATTTTCAGATCAGTAGGGAACCCAGTGGTGGTCTTGCAAAATGTGATTACAATGTCCAGAGTGCTACCAATTGCCTACAAGATAAATTTGGATAATTTTCATGGTCTCTGTGGGCAAAACCACATCATTGCAGCATGCACTGAATTTACTTTCCATTTACCGAATTAGGGTGTGTCATGGTTTAACTTGTGCCTGATCACAAACCTATGTCTGTTCTATAAGCCAAAACACAACAGAGAAGATATGCTCAGTGGCAATGCCCAAAGGAGAAGAAATTTTATAACACTTGCAGTGTAGAGGCCCATAAAATGACCACTGGAGGCCTAGACAAAGTGGGAGGTTTTTAACATTTCCCCAAAGCAGTCTACATATGTTTCTAGCTAGTGTGACTATGTGAGACACTTAGCAACTACCAGTCTCCCATTTTTATTTACTTATTTTTCCTATTAGAAGGATAAAGCACCAAAGGTATCATTTAAGAAATCATCAGTTTACTGAGACACTAAAGGAAAAATATGACTCTTCAATTCATTTGACCAATTATTAAATACTCCATAGAAATCAGTTTCTCAAAAATAGTAATTTTTAAAAATAACCTGACTTGATGATGTTTTTTAAGTTTCTAAGAATTTTAGTTATTAAAATAAAACTTTCATCTAGCAAAAAGTAAGAAAATTTACAGATGATCTAGAATGAAAAGTAAAAGTCAGCCTCTACTTCTTGCTTCCCAGAAGCAAATATTTGTATTAACTTTTCTGCCTCACTCTCCCTTTTGCCCCTAGAGGTTATTCTTATAACCTTAATATGCTTCAACTTCTGTTACCTGACCAATGTTTGTTTATTCATCTGTAATTGACTTTGACTTTTTATTATGGAAGATTTCAAGCATAAAAAGAAGTAGGACTCAGTTAATTTTAGACACAGCTATATTATTAGGCGGAACATGACAAGACTGATGAGCTGTCATGCTGCCGTCTTTTGAGAGAGCTCCTGTCTTTGTTGAGAGCTGTGGTTCCCCTGAGGATCCTTTCCTCTCCGCTGGAAGTCGAGGGCTATGTGCCATGAAGCAGGCTGGGCCTCTCTTACTGCCAGGAGTGCTTCCTTCATGCAGGGGACAGTTTGGAACCAATCTATGTTGCTTCAAATGGATATCTCAAGTCATGGGTATGGTTGATCACTTCTCACCTAGGGCACTTCAGCAGGCTTTGCAGCTATCTTTAGGGGGAAGGCTAGCTCCCTTGAGTGTTTTAACCCCATAGAAATAAAATACCAAATACAAACATTATATCCCATTTCCAAGGGGATTAAAAAGTTGGGGGTCAGGATGGCCAAGTAATACTCTTGGGACAAAATGAATTTAAGTGAAAAACTTCTTACCCATTATTGTTGCTGTTATTGCCATGGTTACCATTCTGTGATGGTTCCTATATCTATGTCTGCTCTGACAGGAATTTGCAGGGGAAGGCCTTCGAACCTTGGCCATTGCATACAGAGATCTGGATGACAAGTACTTTAAAGAGTGGCATAAGATGCTTGAAGATGCAAGCGCTCTCATGGATGAAAGGGATGAACGGATAGCTGGACTATATGAAGAAATTGAAAGGGATTTAATGGTATGAGCTTAGAAGCATGATGTTTTCTGTTTATAGAAGGGATAGTATGTGTTTAGAGATCTAGCATAAGAATAATCCATTGCCAAATCATCTTGCACATAGCAGATGTTACCCTTTCAAACACTGAGTCGTGCTTTATACATCGGCTTCAAGTTTGCCATGTATGGCCCTACAGAGCCTAAAGCATTATTTCTATTAGCAGTAGCTTATACAATTGGAAGTTTCCCCAAAGTAGAAGATAGTGGCATCTCTATTCTTTGTCAGCCTCTGGTATGTCCTTGATGTTATGTGTTTTGTCTTTTTTTTTTCCCTCTCCTTTCTTTATGATCTACCTTTTTGAGCAGGGAAACTTTCCATGAAGAGCGGCTATAGCTCTAAACCATCCTAGGCCATGAGGTTCTGATAATATCTGTGTTGCCCAGACTATGATCTATTTTAGAAACTGCTCTTCCCTGAGGCCCCAGTAGTCAGGATGCTTAGCTATTGTGAGGTACTAAGGAGCATGTTATGTTCATCTCTGGATGAAATATTATGCAAGACCCTTCACTTTTTAGTTTATGACATCTGGTTTGTTAATTTAGCCATTAACAAATTAATTTGTTACTTTTTTGTGATTCTTACTATGAAATTAGGGCTCTCCTTTGGACCTTTCCATGTTGATGTAAGTGGGGAAGAGGCTGGGGAGTTCTTCAGTTCTTAGAAGCCCAAATGGGTTCTGATGGTTTATGCTAATATGTTATATATGAGCATATCAGACCCCTCATAAATTCTAACCTCCAGGATCTCTGCCATTAACTGGTGTGACTATCAGTTGGCTTGATTTGGGAACTTCCTCTTGAGGACCTTCCCAACCCATCACTGCACATAATAAGATGTTTGCTGTATCAATGCATCATAACTTCCTTCTTCAATTCATGTTCCTTGACCTCTAAACTCTGTGATTTAAAGCCATAGATACTGTGGATATTGTTTGCCTGCATTAACATAAGGTATTCTCTATTTTTCAATGAAGCTACTAGGTGCCACTGCTGTAGAAGATAAGTTACAAGAGGGTGTTACTGAAACGATTGCAAGTTTATCATTAGCTAATATTAAGATCTGGGTCCTAACAGGAGACAAACAAGGTAAATTGAAAATGGATGCTGACGATGTCTTGAAAGGGGGGGGCAATAATTTCTCTGGTAAAATTTTAATTAACCAGAAAGCTTAAAGAATTAGATATTTACACAGCCCTTCACATAGGAAAGAGTTGAAATATAAAAAGGAAAGCTAATATATTACAAAAATTTATTATTTAAAACAAAAACTAATGAATTATCTTCTGTAGTATACTCTTCAGTCAGTTGAGTTTCAGCTCAATTGCTTCTTAAATATGATAGTTTCACCTGTAGGCAACAATGGTATCAAAAAATGTTTATTGTTTCACATGAGCAGTGCCCCCAATCAGGACAGAGAGAGGCATAGCACTGAAGCAGGACATTGGAGACCTCCATTGGAAACACTGGAGACCTAACTACTCCTTTATTTTCTTGATGGTAGGGAGGTTTGGGCATATTAGGGATGGGGTCAGGATGGTAGGCAAGCTTTGGGGAGACAGGGAAGTGGCTATGTATCAACTGGTGTGGAAATATTCTGGCATTTTATCAATCACCACAGGCGTACCAGTGCAACTAGGCTAAATTCCAGGACTGCCCATGTAGTGGTACAATGAGAGCTGACCCACTTTCAGACATGACAAAATGCCAAGTCAGCATAGAGTCATTATGTTCAGGGTACTGTGTTTCCTAAGAAGGAAAAGGAATCAGTACATTTTGGATCTGTTGCTAGCAGTAATGGTTAAAACAAAAATGATTTTATGCTTGGTCATTAGTAAACCAGAATATTTAGTAAATTGGCACACGTGTTTTCAAGATTCTATCTACATGTTACATATTTTTTAGAACATTGGAGGATTTGTAGATAAGTCAGTTCTCCATGTGTTCACCCAAATCACTGATTACAAAAAATAAACAGTAGAGAGTTGAGCTCTGTGGTGTATTAGTAGAGACTTCCTAGAGTTTGACATTGATCAGTAGGTACATTCATAACTATTTACTTAGTTATGAATATATACTAGTTTACTCTTATTTAGCTTTCATTTCTGTGGCTTATATGAAGGATATGCTAAAATTTTATCGATTGCCTTCAGACTTAGGACAAATCTAATTATCCCACAGAATTGGCAAGAACCTAATGCCTCAATAGAATGAGAAACAAATGACCATACTGAGGATGGAAGGGCTATCTAACTATCCAAAGGTCCAGTTCTACGGAAGTGGAGGAAGGACTGCTCAACATCATGTACTTCTCCACTTATCTAGTAGCAGCAGTCCTGCGTGGTCTTTGAGGTGATAGTCAAATTCCAAACTTTAATTTACTTAATGGGAAAATGGCAGTGTTGCCTATGGGAGAACTATAAAGCTATTATAAGAACATTTTTTGCTTTCAACTGAACAATTTGTGAGTTTTTTCAATGTGTATACCACATCAGATTAAATAATAGCTAAATTAAGTATTTTAGCTCTCCAAAGGCAGTATTTGGGACTTCAGGTAAAAAGTTTTTTTACTTACACATTTCACTATATCACAGGGCCTTAGGGTATTTTCATAAATCCTAATTTTGGGAATCAAGAAGTTTTTTCAAAAACTAGATGAAAGGGCTGAGAATTCATAGATGTTGCTACTTCTCCATGGATTTAACAAGTGGTGAATTTGATCATGGAACCTGGGTCTTTGAATTTAGCTCTGGGTTTCTTGGATTTTATCTCTCATCACGTTCTCTCTGACATTAAAGGGTAATGCCTCAAAACTTTTATGAAAAAAGGTACTTATGTTATTAAATAATGTTCTAACTGAGATGGGTTTTATTTTGTATCAGAAACTGCCATCAACATTGGCTATGCCTGCAACATGCTGACTGATGACATGAATGATGTGTTCATTATAGCAGGGAATACAGCAGTGGAAGTCAGAGAAGAACTCAGGTAAGTGTTGAAGGAAAAAAGAAAGGAAGAGAGAAAGGGAGAGATAGTTGAGAAAGTAGAAAGGCCCTTTATAGTTCCTATGGCCTTATTTTGGAATAGAATTCTTCCTGCATGTTTCCTAAACTCCTATTCATAAGTTTGACATTAGTAGTGAAACATTGTCTTCAGGCCTCCAACATTTTCCAAGTATTTTTATTATTTTTTAAAATATATATATATTTAAAGATTTTATTATTTGTTGGAGAGAGAGAGAACACAAGCAGGGCGAGCAGCAGGCAAGGGAGAAGCAGCCTCGCAGCTGAGCAAGGAGCCCGATGTGGGACTCGATCCCAGGACCCTGAGATATGACCTGAGCTGAAGGCAGATGCTTGACCGACTGAACCACCCAGGCATCCACCAAGTATTTTTAGAAAAGGATTTCAAATCACTTACATTAAATTATCCTTTAAAACTATGTGTTGGTGAGTGCCTAGCTCTTATATGATGAGTGATCAGATTCAGTGAGGGCATTTGTTTAAAATAGCAATTCCCTAGCTTCATTTTGGCCCCCCAAATTAAGAATCTCCAGGGGATGGGGGATGGGGACTTGTATTTTCATAAGTACCTAAATGAAATTGATCAGATAAATTTGAAAAACGCTGCTGGAGGAGATGGTATGTAAAGTTGGAATAGAGTCAGCATTAAAGAAAGTAGGTATTTTGACACAGTTACTGTTAAACCCAGCTCTATAATCCTTATGAGAAATAGAATGCCATGAAATTTGTGTAACTGCTGCAAATGCCAGAAAATACATAACTGCTGAAATTAGATAAGTGGACAAACATTAAATTTTGAGAAATAACATTTCCTAAAATCTGCCAACTTTATCCCTTTTTTTCTATTTCATTTTAAGAAGATTTTGAAAGTCTGCACAATTATTTTCCCAGAACTTTAAAAAATGCTGTCTTATAACAATTTTTGCTCACTTATGCTTGCAGTAGCATCTTTAAACTCAATCCATTTTGGGTCTGGCCAAACAGATTATTGCATTGGAGGCAAACTGCTTCTATCTTGCTACATTCTAGATGGGGCTAACTTCCCCTCAACACAACGGTGGAACACTATGGGCTTCCTTAATGTGTTTCCATCATTACGCTTTTGTTCCTGAACCTTGAAAAGAAAGAAAGTCTTAACTGTCAGCACCACTGATTGCTACTTGTAGATCAAATTTCCCAACTTCCACACTGTTTTACTCCCAGTAGAAAACTGCTGTACATGCTGGTTAGAAGATATGATTGAGATGGCAAGTCTTTGCCAAATACATTGGGAAATTGGGGGAAATATTAATAATTTGCTTAATAATTAATAACAATTAAATATTTTAAGAAAATCTCTTTAAATGACCTTTTTTTACGGGGGGGCAGATTTAACTCTTGCTGAGGGAAGATGGATGTGAGCAGATCTAGACCGTAATGTGCCTAGTGCTAAATGCTTTGAAACAGTGCCCGGGGCACTGTTATAAGCAGGATACATGTATTGCATTTCATTCCCAAAGCAACCCAGTGTTAAGCATTATCATTATCCTTATTTTACAGATCAGGAAGTTGAGGCATGGATAGGGTAAATAACCTGCCTGAAGTTTCACAACTGAAACTTCAGGCTAGTGGTTCAAATGGTATTTGAATCTAGTGTGGTCCCAGAGCCTGTGCACCAAATCACTTGCCACATGTCTCTCTAAACATATGTTGGATGTATTCTTACTCCCTTTAAATGATTAATATAAAAAAATGTAATTGTTGAGGCATCTTACTGCTTCACTTGAGCTCACACACCAGAGTAGTGATGAGAGCAGAATAACTTCCAGGGAGAGACAGCAGGTGTAAGAGGAAGGATATGGGCTTCGTGTTAGCTGGACCCAAGTTGGAATCTTGGCTTCCAACTCACTGGCAGGCTAAGTTACTTTAAATATTCTATTCAACCTCTCTTTGATTTGTTTCCTCATTTGTAAATGGGAAAATATACAAATATCTATTCTGTAGACTTATTCAGGAGATTAAAAGAGGTAAGAATGTAAAGATTTGTGGCCATTCAATGAGCATCTTTCTTGTCTTCCCCTTCGCTCCCCACTTCCTTCCTTCCCCTTTATCTCTTTTCTTCAGCCCTTGTTCCCACAACAGGGACTACTTTAATTAACATTTCCCCAATAGACTCTGTGGAGTCTATATTAAAATTATATAAATAATAATAAAATTGTATCAGTTATAATTAACTAGATTTCCCAATATGTATTGTGCAAAGACATAGGCAATCAGCTGCCAGAAGCATGATATACCAGCTTTCTGCACCCAGTTGATGTAATGGTAGCTAAAAATAACACGAAAGTTAAGAAAAAGTGGTGAGTCTATACATTCTTATCATATAGCCATCTATATTTTTATTAACCTTCTTAAGATATTGAAAACAACATGCTGACCTCTATTACAGCCTTTATGGATCCCTTCCTCAATTGGTTACATTATATAAGGATATTGCAGGTTGATGGAACAGCATACATGAAGGCATAGAAACATGAAGGAAATCATGTTCTATTCTAGAAGCAGTGTTCCATGTTGTAGCTAGGATGTATGATAGAATTAAAGGTGAGGACCATTTTTTCAGAGACAGTTTGGTGATCGATTGACAAGTGAAAATGGTTATACTGAATCCTAAAGTCATTGAGTGGATGTGAATGGCTTCTAAGCAGATGAGTAACAAACCCAATTCTACATTTATGAAATAACACTCCAGTGACAGGATAGATGGAGTATGTTTGATGGGAAAAATAACAGTATCGGGAGATGCATCAGGGAGCTGTTGGAATACTGGAGTTTAGAGATGATGAGGTTGAACTGAGGCAGTGAGGCCAAAAGAGTGGAATGAAACTGACAGCTCTTTTGGAGGTAGAATGGATAGGACTTGGAATTTGATTGGATGTGAAGAGAAGTAGGAGCCTATGTCATTTCTAGCTTGTCTGACTTTCACAGCCCAGAATGCACTCAGCTGTGCCAGAACAAAAACTCTTTAAATTTTATAAAACTGAACTTGAACCCCTTTCTGCCTGATGGCAGAACAATTAAAATAGGCACTTTTGGGTAAATTTAGTTCAAGTCTAGGATTCACAGCTGCCCCATCTGTCACTGATCTCATCATCTACCCTGCTAACATCTAGCACTTCCCTCTTCTGTGTCCCTGTCTGGTCTCATATCTCTCTGGGTCGCCAGCTGTCCCTCTTGGCTCATTCCACATGCTCCTGGGGAAATAGGAAAAGTGTGGCTGCTCTTCATCTGTGTATCTGAGAAGACATGTGCTCTCACAAGGCCGCCTCTGTTCCTGAAATCCCTTTACTCTAGATCTTCTTTGTCACCATACTTCAGTGGCAACTATTCCATACTCAGATTCCCAAAAACTCATCTGAGGATTTCATTACCCACACATTCCTCCATCCACTACTGGTCTGGGGTGTGAGTTAGGACCCAGCTTTCTTTAATGACTCACCAGCATCTAAGCTTCTTTTCGTAGTCCCTTACCTCTAGGCTTGGATGGGCTTTCTACTCTGTTGCTTATGGCAACATCTTATCCCTTGATTTCTTTAAGGATTTGTCTTATGAAACTTGGAGAACATTTTTTCTTCCCTCTCAAAAAGCCCATTAGCAAAATTCAAGATCAATGCTGCTATGGGTTTCAAGAGTCTATTTTGGTACTTAAAAAGCAAGGTCTTGACTCTTTTTTTGTTCCCTCTGTATTTCGTTCTGTGAGATCTCCTGAGGCAAGGTATGTTTCAGAGTAAAGAAGGTCATCTGTAGTAGTGGTGGTGATTGCAGAAGGGGTAGGGAACCAAAGTTACTATCTCAAGATTTTATCCAGCTACCTTTGGTTGACTAAATAGATGGCATAACTGTCATTAAGTGGAAGGCATGTGGAGAAATATGAATTCTTATAAATTGTTGTTGGGAGTCCAAGTTTGTAGAAACTTTCTAGAGGGCAAACTCACAACATATTTCAAAATTACATATATGTAAGCTTGATCCAATGATCACTGCTTCTGGGAATTGTCTTTAAACAAGTGGATAAATGTCTGAATATGTATATAAAGAAATATTGATTGCTGCATCAATTATAATAGAAAATCAGAAAATGCTCAAATACTCAGCCACAAGGTATTTTGTTAATTACTATGACATACACTGGCAATGGGATACTATGCAGTTATTAAAAGTGATTATGTGTTTGTTGACATTGCAGAGGATCATAGGGGAAGAAAGGAAAAAAAAATGAAACAAGATGAAATCAGAGAAGGAGAAAAACCATAAGAGACTCTTAATCTTAGGAAACAAACTGAGGGTTGCTGGAGGGGAAGGGGGAAGGGGATGGGGTAACTGGATGATGGACATTGGGGAGGGTATGTGTTTTAATGAGCACTGGGTATTATATAAGACTGGTGAATCACGGACCTGTACTTCTGAAACAAATAATACATTATATGTTAATTAATTGAATTTAAATTTAAAAAAAAATAAATATCTGGGACAAATAAAAAAAAAGTCCCAAAGCACTCCTGGTCATTCTCACATTGTCATTTTAAAGATATGTGTCCTAGTAAATACTTTGGATTTTCCAAGAAGGTAAATACCAATCTTGGAAAACTTTCTCGAGGATAGGAATTATGTTGTATGCTTTCATATCTTCTGCCACTAGTGGCACAGAACTAGGTATATTAGAGACGATCAGATTTTATTTGATATTTGATTGACAGATTTATTGACTGGCTGAATTTTTGTGGTTGAGACTATTGCAGAGACAATTGTTCTTTTTTTTTTCTTTTAATTTTTTTTATTTGAGAGAGAGAGTGCAAGCACAAACAGGGGGAGCAGTAGAGGGGGAGGGGAGAAGCAGGCTCCCCGCTGAGCAGGGAGCCCAGCGTGGGGCCAGATCCCAGGACCCTGAGATCATGACCCAAGCCCAAGGCAGACAGTCAACCAACTGAGCCACCCAGGTGCCCTGACAATTGTTCTTTCAATTTGTTGTTGTTGTGTGCTTGGTAGAGAGATGGTCTAAACATAATTACAATAGAATTCTGACTTCTAAGGAATAGAATTCTGAGGGAAAGACTTCTGAGGAATAATGCTGGATGTTATATGATGTAATTTATACTTAAAATGAAAGCAGTTTCTATCATATTTTAAAACTTCATATAGGTTAATATAAATTTGTGTCTTCTCTTACTTTTACAATAAAACAATAAAAAACAAAACAGAAAGATGTCCATGATATATTTAAGTGAAAAATGAGATTACAAAATATGCACAGTATGATCCATTTTTTTCAAAGAAAGTATGTATTTGTATACACAGTGGTTCTCTCTGAGTGTTGGAATTATGGATCATGTTTGCTTTGTTCTTTATGGCTCTTCACATTATTTGAAATTGTAATAGTGTTCATGTAATACTTTCATAATTGGAAAAAAAAAGCCCAAAGATTTTTTAATGATAAGGAAAAATATTCAGAGGGGAAAAACAAGGAATTTCTGTCTAGACTAATTATTTCAGGACCCTTGAGGTCATCTTGCTTAACTGACTAGCAAATAATGTTTATTTTAACCCAGACTTGAAGGTAACCCCATTCTCAGAGTCTAAGACAGGGTGGCAATGCATGGTATAAAATTCTGTATAAGAGGAATGAATACATTTGTAGTATGCATTTCCTTAATAGTAGGATTAGGGGAAACAGAGCATCCAAGAAAAATGATTGCCAAAGGTGCCCTCTCTAATCCTAATCTAGGCTACTTATGTCTAAACCCAGAGTTTGGGGAATGAAATATTAAAATCATAAATTTGCACCCTTCAGTTTTCTTGTGTTAATGTTTTTGAGTTCAGTGGGAGTTCATGCAAAAACAACCCAAAAAAGTGTATCAAAAAAACAGGATCTAAGTGACAGTAGCTATTAGAAGGAAATGATCTAAATGGTTCTATTTAAACCTAACAAATGTGTTTAGATTATTTCTTAAACATGGATATATAATTTTTATGCATATCATGCATATGGCTTGCTTCAAATTTAATGTAATGAAACTGTTTTAGCCACTTTGAGTCCTGGGTTAATTTTGCCACCATAACTGTTTTAGTATTAAAGGCATGCCCAGAAATCTACAATTAAACCCTGTTATGGTTTCTCAGAAGATCATCACACTGATTACATTTCACCAATACATATGTCTTCTGCCCAAAGGAAGACAGACTGGGAATATAATTTTGCTTGGGCTTACAGGCAAACTCCATGTTTCATTTTTGTTATATTGGTCCCATGTTTTGTTGAAAAAATTCATGTCCGATATCAAATTAAACCATGATGTGACTGTACTGCTTCTGAGAAATATTCTGGTGATAAACCTAGGAATTGATATTTCTTCTTTAATCAGCAAAATACATGTTGCACTTTTTTGAGCACTACTTGGTAGAAAGTTAGTTACTTGTTTGAATAAGCAGAGTTCTCAAATGCAAATGGCTCCAGAACCAGGCAGGTAACATTAGTTGTGTGATCCGGGCTATATATGAGACATTAGGGAGTGATGGAGCCGTTGGTGAAGGTGAACATCATGATGTCCATAAACTCATACAGATTTTTAAAAACACTGTGCAGGCCAAACAAAATGCATCTCATTCCTCATTTCCAACTTCTAGTCACCCAGGCAAAATGTTTTAGTAGTTTGGGTTTCTATCATAAACCAGAACATTTTAGAGTACTAAGAAATCTTGGCAATGTTCTAATACACACTGGTGCAGCTGCCCAGGTTTTCCCAGCTGGTGTCAACCAGCCTAATGGGCTGTCCCATTCCCCTAATTTCTAATAAAACATGGGTTTAGGGATTGTCTTATAGATCGCATGGGTAGTAAGGGATGGAACTGGGGCTTAAAATAAAAATTTCATGTACTTCCTCCCTTTCTCTGTTGTTGGCAGTGTGGTGCTGTCCCATAACTGCTCCTCTGGCCCTGTCAGCCTGTGACTGACTCTATATGTTAACCAGTTTAGTGCAGTAGACTGAGAACTAGGAATTTGAAGACCTGGGTTCTGTGCTGGGTCTGTAACTGACTTGTCAAGTGGCTAGAGGTCAGATCACCCAGCTGTGGGCAAACGAGATGTCAGAGGCAAGACCTTGGGCCTAAGCCCAGCTCTCCAGGTTCCAAGCTCTTATATCGAAGTCAGGATTGTCTTCTTTTAAACAGGATGCCATGGTTTCAGTCCATTTCCTTACAGGTCCATGCCATGTTTGAACACATAGTGCCTTACGAGCATACCATCTCTTTTCTTTATAGAGTGCATGTAAGCCAACATGTGCCCAACTGTGCTCTGCTGTGTTTGCAGTGGCACAGGGCTCTGAATGCCATGGTCGCCTCAGCCGTTAATGCATTTCTGCATGCCAGCATTCTAATAGACTGCCCTTCATTACACAGCTTGGGAAAACACAGGCCTTCTTTTGTTTTAGCATTTGTTATTTGTGTTCTTGGGTTAAGCATTGTGTGTTATGTCTGCAAAAATGTGTAGTTTCTATTCAGTAAAGGAAGTCACGTGTAGTTTTTCCCCGCCTAATAAATTGCTTTTTTTTTTTTTTTCAAGAACCAGCTAGCATTTTAAGAGCTAAGTTCCAGGAAGAGAAAGAAATGATAGCTATAGAACATGGGCAGAGGTCTGAAAATTTGTGAGCCCTGTCTGGTGAGGATGGTTGACCCATGTGGAGGGCACACAGTGGGAATTTAAGCTGAGCCTGAAAAACTGTCCCTTTTCTGCCTAGAGATGTTAGGAAGACAGTTGAAGGGGGAAAAAAATCCTAAGTAAATAGAATTTCAGCCAATACTCTCATGAACTTCACCCTTCTTTGGAATGTTTTTATTCTCTGGGGGGAAAACAGAGATTGAGTCATCTATACAGCGAGTGAGAACTTTACTAAAAAGGAAACCTCGGGAGATGTTTGCCCTTTGGTGCTTTCTTAAGACCCAATTTATGAGCTCTGCAGCACTGCCAGAGAAACGCTCGCTTCTGGGGAGCTTGTTTCTCTAGCTTTCTTCATTATATGGGACAGTAAATTTTCTTGACTGTTAGGAGGACTCCTTGACATGATTATCTGATGTAAAAGTCTGATTCTCCCACTAAACAATGATTTTTCATGTCTGTTCTCCACTCCTTCCTCCACCTTAACTCCCTAAATTTCACACATAGCACTCTGACTTTATAAATCTTTTTCTTTGATTCTGCAGACTGATTGTTAAGTGCATGATATCATTCTTAGAGCCAGGGGCATGTAATCTCTGGGTTCCTTGGGTTCTTAAATGCAGGCTGTGCTTTTGGTCTTGGACAGCAGAAGGAGATGTTGAGCCAGAAGATAAGGGTGTTTTTTGTGTGTGTGTGTGTGGGTTGTGTTTTTGTTTTTGTTTTTAGACTTCGCATATAAATAGTGTTACATTTTCAAATAATTAGAAAGCTAAGGGCTAAAATGGTTTTTGTACAGTGAACATTCTCTTCTTTTTACATCATAAAACCATTTTAATAAATGTTTTCTATATAAGATGAGCCTTTGGGGAACAATTTCACTTTGCTGTAAGCCAAAACACCCATTTTTCTGGCCTCCCACTCCCCATTTGCTCCAGGCACTCATTTTATAGATGCAAGTTGTGGCCTAACATACTGGTGGCTGGCTTTGGCACTCATCTTCAGGGAGCATTTGCCATGTAGCCCTCTGGTTGTGGTTGAAAGTACTGGAGTCATGTTAACTTGCCCTTATGTTACTTCAAAGCCTGTCGTCTGAGGGTCTTCAGAGAGGAAATTTCCCTTCCATTAAAGGCATTATCTTTCCATTTTGAAGAGAAGAGTAAAATGCCTCTTCTAAGCATGTTATGTGACCATACAATCTTTCTCTTAAATAGCAGAGATGGATGAGTGTGAGCAGGATTTTTCTACTGCTAATTAGATCTGGGGCATTGGAAGCAGTTTCCATTTGGAACGACCCTCTACTCTTGGTGTCTGTATTATTTTCCCCAGAAGATTTATACTATTGTTTGAGCTGATGAGTGCAATTTTCACTTAAAACAGTCCATTATATTCTAATGACTATGCCAATTCAGTAAATGCCATCATTTAGTTTTGTCACATTTTTAGAAAATGTGCTTCTTAAAAGACTGCTGTTTTAAGCCAGATCATATGACATTGTTCTGCAAATTAATGAATTTATTTTATATATTGATGTCCTGGAATTCCTAGAAGGTTTCATCAATTGTCTTTAGTCTTTCCCTTTTCAATATTTAACAATATTGCATGCCAGACCAGTGGTTCTGGAGTCCCTGAAGCTCAGACAACCTTATGGGCCAAATGTATCAAGGGCACCTAGTTCCAGCCCAGCTCAAGATGATAATTTAGATTTAAGGTAATTGTAAACATTCAAAATTATTCTGTTTTCATTATGTTTACTTTCCTACTTCCTGGAGTTTGCAAATTTGCTACGGTCTCCCTGTCACTAAGAATCATCCAGCTTGCTTTACTGTAACCGAATCTTATGCCATAGTCTATCTGAATAGTGACGAAATGAATTTACCTCTAGGCCAGTCTCTTGTTAGCGTAATAGGTATGCTCTTTAAACTTGTTATGATTTGTTTCCCCCCCACCCGCCGCCTTCAAGAAAAGCAAAGGAAAATTTGTTTGGACAAAACAGAAGTTCTTCCAACGGCCATGTAGTTTTTGAAAAACAGCAGCTGGAGCTGGACTCAGTTGTAGAAGAAACCATAACAGGAGATTATGCCTTAATCATAAATGGCCACAGTTTGGTGAGTTTGCTTAAGGCTTTTGTTCTTTTTCTTTATCCCAATAATTGTCTCTTTTGTACTGTCATACTGAGGTCTCCTTTTGTGTTTTCCAAACAAATGACACCACTAGAAACAGGGTATACACAATGATTTCCTGTTTGCAAGGGGAAAGGAAACTTCTGATATATATTTCATACATTATTGCTTGAACCACCACAGTGAAAGGGAGGATCCAAAGAAATACTGTATTCACAGAACATCAATCTTGTCTAAATGACTGTAGACCATTTAGCAGTATTGTTTAAGTGCTTTTCTAAGGGAGAGTGTCACAGCTCCCTGTTATTTAATTAAAATAATGCAACCATTGGATGTATTGCAATTATTGCTCTTGCTGATGTTTGTGATTTGGCAGAGCACAACCTGATCTTCATATAATTACCACACCAAATTATTGCCATTAAGATACCTCTGGTGGTTTTTCTAAATAGCAGTATTTTACAGCAATGCCAAACAATTTGCTTTGATTAGGAAATCTGGTTCTTGTCGTAATAGAATAAACTTGCATTGTGCTTTTAATGTAGTTCAGGTTCCAAATCTTGAACAAATATCAAAACACTCTTCTGAGTTTCTAATTTAAAAAACAAAAGCTCTGATTGCACTCCAGTGAAATTATCATTTATATGCACAAAGAGCTAATCTCACATCTTTCCCCAGCTTTGATGATCATTTTTCACTTTTGGGGTTTGGAAAATAAATGTATCTTCTTGTAGACAGTTTCTTAGAGGACAAAAGAAGTTGGATATGAGTATATTGTATTTTCCCCCTTGTGATCAGCTGTCTGTTAGCTCTTAGTGCTTAGAGCATTATCCAGCTGGATTCCAGACGTAATGATGTGTTGCCTTCTACACCATGGAAAGTTACAGAGCTCAGCTGCAGGCCAACCTCAGTCGAAAGTTTGTCCAGATGACACGAACTTCTCCTTTGCACAAATGAGCAGCAACTGAAAATTATAAGCCTGTCAACTGGGACTTAAAGCTGGTGGCCTCCAAGCTGAATTGCCCAGGGACTAAAATATGGAAAGTTTCCTAATGAGTTGTGCTTTGACTTTCCCTCAGTCTCAAAGAAGCCAGTGTGTGGTGAGTTAGAGTACTCAGGTGATAATGTATGCTATTTTCTCTTTGTCTCTAAATCTGTTGAAAGAAAAGAGCTAAGATTGATGCTCTTCAAGAGCCCTTTCAGCTTCAAAGCCTGAAGTTTATGAAACCATGAAATGTCATTTTTCATTTAAGGAAAATTGACCACATTTCTGCTGGTATGGTCAGAAGTTTTTTTTGTTTTTTTTTTAAGCAAATCATGATTCCAGTTTGCTTCAAATCTCAATGCTTTGTAGAATGTAATTGGGTCCTTCTTTATCAGAGTCTGAGTCTAGGTTTCACTTGATGATAAGAAAAAGAAAAGGGGACCATTCTAAGAAAGAGAACCAGTTACATGCTTTCTCTTTCAGAAAGGGCAATTATATTTGAGAAAGCTAACTCACTGTTTCCCCTAGGAATCACAGGCCTTGACGTAAGAATTTTCTACATCAGAGTCATGTTTTATACTCATTCACCCATCTTTTCATTGATACTATTAACATTTATTACATGCCCAGGTCAAGATGTTGGAGCCTGAGGGTAAGGATATGAATAGAACACGGTTCTTGTTTTAGGTATTGCTGTCTAGTGGGAGAGCTAATCTCAAGTGTTATGACAATACTATATAATAGAGGAATGAACACAGAGCTTTGAGAGTATAGAGGCAGACACATTTAGTTTCTTGTGTGAAAGTCAGGGAAGACTTCCTGGAGGAAGTGATGTTTCCAGGTACTGAAGGAGCAAGTACAAAGGCATAGCGTCAAGAAAGAACCTGTCACAGTATGGAAACAAACAATTTGGCATGATGAGAGTACAGAGTAAACTTAAAGGTGGTGGTAGAAGACAGAACTCAAAAGGAATATAGGGGCCAGATTATGATGGGCTGTGGATATCTTGCCAGAGATTCATTCAGAGACACTGATGACTCAAAGTTTAGGTGGATTCCTGTTTCCTTTTAATGCATTTATTAAATAATGTACAGTGAGATGTTTTCTAGAAAACAAATTGCACAGTTAACTGCAAAGGATTATGCTCTCTTTTTCAGTCATGTCTTGGCATATATAAAGGTTGTGTGTATTTGGAGAGGAACAGGGCTGGAATTGGTTGGGAACCCTGAGGTTGCATGCAGGCCCCCCTTTTGCACAAGCCTCTCTCTATTTCAATCACTTTGTTTTTCAAGGGCTAATCTCCAGATCATCTGCTTTTCATTTGCCCCACCATTAACAACCACAACAACAAACACTAAATATACAAAACAACAATGCAAAGGAAACAAAAGTTACATCACATGGAACAAAGAAGTCCCCATCATTTTGTAGTTCATTCTAAACTTGGTGAGATGGTGGACAGGTTCTGTCTTTTGCTTTTCTTTATTTTAGTGGATTCCGGAACTGTTCTGGCATTGAATTATATCTCACCCACGCAGCATGATAATGTGTCAAGGAGGACACACAAGGGCCCTGTGTCTTTTTATTTTTATTCTAAAATTCCTTGGCACTTAGTAGGAGTTTAGTGCTCATTTCTTTAGTTAGTTGTTTATGTGACTCTGGGTCAACAATGACTTGTTGAAATGAATTAAACTGTTGAGAAAAGAAATCAGTTGAGAAACAAGAAATCTGCCTCCCAAATGATACCTCTCATTGATTAGGTCTTTTTTTTTCTTTTTAATAATATAGGCCCATGCCCTAGAAAGTGATGTCAAGAATGATCTTCTAGAACTCGCCTGCATGTGTAAGACTGTGGTTTGCTGCCGAGTCACCCCACTCCAGAAAGCCCAAGTAGTAGAGCTGGTGAAGAACTATAGGAATGCTGTCACTTTGGCCATCGGCGATGGAGCCAATGACGTCAGCATGATCAAAAGTAAGAGGATATTCACTCAATAGGGTCTGCTGTAGACCTGGAGTCCTCGGGTTCAGCATTTGGCAAGATGTGATGGAGATTACACTGTAATTTGAATTTTACCACTAGTTCTAAAATGAATACTTCTGGGTCAATACATTCGGCATCATTAGCATTCATAGAAAAACCTTCGTCTTTAATTAAATCATCTGTGTATTTTTAGACTAGAAAAGGATGTTGATCACCTTATATTATACTGTAGCTAGCTATGGTGTAAGGAATGAACAATGGATCCTCAGTCCCGACATTTGGGGTTAGTCCCAGCTTTGCCACTTACAAATCGTAAAAACTTAAGCAAATTACTAAAATTCTCGGGCTAGTTTTCTCTTTTGGAAAACTAGGATAAATACCTAACTCGTGGTGTTTCATAAGACAATATATGCGAAAAATTATAAATGCTATAGCTATAAGATTTCTGTAGATAAATAATGACTTAAAAGTGATTTACGGAATGAAAGCACTCCTCTCTTCCTTTGTAGGTGCTCACATTGGCGTTGGCATCAGCGGCCAGGAAGGACTGCAGGCAGTCTTAGCCAGTGACTATTCATTTGCACAATTTAGATACCTCCAAAGGCTTCTCCTTGTGCATGGAAGGTGGTCCTATTTCCGAATGTGCAAATTCTTATGCTATTTCTTCTATAAGAATTTTGCATTCACACTTGTGCATTTCTGGTTTGGTTTCTTCTGTGGTTTTTCAGCCCAGGTTGGTAAAAAAGTGCTTTTCTTTCTTTTATTAGATCCCCCTGAATTGCAGATGACTATTCTTCATAGTTCCTTATTAATAAATAGCATTTTTATATGTCTCATACAGATCACAGTATGACAGTTATGTAACTTATAGTTGACTTGAGCTTGAAACACAAAAAGAATATACATATAGCTGGAATTTTATTTATTTTTATTTATATATAGGTAACCAATGAATCTCCATCCTGTGTGTTTTTAAATTTTTATTGAAATATTTTGGTATGATGACAGATAAGCTTGGTGTGGAGCTTTCATTAGAATAGAAGCCTAAGAAACACTAACAAGAAATGTTGATGTATCTCAGGGAAGATGGTCACTCACCCAACACACTGACTGCATATGGACTGAGAGTAAATATGTTTTAAATTAGGGAGAAATAATTGATACCCTGACATCAAAGCTGTTTTGACAGCATTTCAACAGATAAAAATTGATAAAATAGATAATGGTGATACAATAGATAATGTTGGTAACAAGGAAGAAAAGTTAACAATTCCTAAGTTAGGATTCTATTTTTCTATCTACTCATATCCATTTTAAAAGATAGTTATTTCACCCCATATCTTGGATACCAGGAAAGTTTTGACCCTGGGTATCAACTGTGAAACATCAGGCCAGTAGCATCTGAATATACTTATGAGTTAAAAAAAAAAAAAAAGAGAGAGAGAGAGAAAATGACATTGTAACCGTAACTCTCATGAGAGATTTCTTCAACTGTTCTTCCTTCCTCTTGGATTTAATCATTGGTTTCAATGATATGCATAAAGCTATTTTTTTCAGTCATTTTATTCCAGAACAATGGAGTATGGATTACATTGTAACATTTTGTGTTATTTTAAATGTGCCAAGGGAGATTAGTGAATCATTTTTGTAATGAATATAGATTTTGTGTGTTTTTCCCTTTATCTGAGAGGTTGAGATTTCTTTTTTTTATGGGTTTCCTTTTTTTATTTAAATTCAGTTAATTAACATATAGCGTATTAGTTTCAGAGGTAGAGTTCAGTGATTCATCAGTTGCATACAACACCCAGTGCTCATTCCATCACGTGCCCTCCTTCATGCTGATCCCCCAGTTACCCCATTCTTCCCACCCACCTCCCCTCCAGCAACCCTCAGTTTCTTTCCTATGCTTAAGAGTCTCTTATGGTTTGTCTCCCTCTCTGATTTCCTTGTTCTATTCTTCCCAGGTTTTTTTTTTTTTTTTTTTACACTAGCCAGAATAATACTGTATGTATTGTTTTTTGATGTGCTTGTTGGAGATGATCTCAGCCTAGCACACTCCTTTTATCCATTCTATATTCCACAGAAATAGTGTTACTGTTTGGGTTGCTTCATTTTGCTGTTATAATTATGCCCACTTTTGTGCATAAACTTGGGCACAGGGGCTGGAATTTGAGGGGAAGAGTATCAGTTGAGCCCTCGGCAATCTGAGGTGAAGGCATGTTGACTTGGCATTGAGCAGGTGGCAGGCCGTGCAAGCTGACTTGGGCAGGAGGGTGGCTGGACTGTGAATTTGGGACCCACAGGCCGATGGCATCATGTGTGACAGGGATGTGGCTGGTTTTGCTTTTAACTTCTGTTTTTCTGGGAAACTTGATCTCTCCTTCTATTCTAAATGAAAGCCTTGCTGGATAGAGTATTTTTGGCTGTAGATATTTTCCTTTTGGCAGTTGGAATTGATCATGCCACTCTCTTCTGGCCTGCAGAGTTTCTGCTGAAAAACCCACTAATAGCCTTATGGGATTTGCCTTGTATGTCACTGCTTTCTTTTCTCTTGCTGCTTTTAAAATTCTCTCTTTATCACTACTTTGGGCCATCTTATTTACTTTGTGTCTTGGTGCAGACCTCTTTGGGTTGGTTTTGTTGGGGGCTCTCTGTGCCTCCTGGATCTGGATTTCTTTCTCCTTCCCCAAATTCAGGAAGTTTTCAGCTATTATTTCTTCAGACAAATCTTCTGCCCCCTTTTCTCATTCTTCTCCTTCTGGGATCCCTATCATGAGACTGTTATGCTTAACAGTGTTGCTGAGTTTCCTGGGTCTATTCTCATTTTGCATATTTTTTTCCCCTCTCATCTGCTCAGCTTGATTACTTTCCATTACTCTGTCCTCTGGGTGGCTGATCTGTTCTTCTACTTCCTCTTGTTTACTGTTTATTCCAGGTCTATTTTTATTTCCATTTAGTGAGTCCAATAGCTCTAATTGGTTCTTTTTTATGCCTCCTATCTCTTGGTGGAGGATCTCATGGAGGTTCTGCACTCCTTTCTCAATTCTAGCGAGTATCTTTATGAGCATTGCTTTAAATTCTCTATCAGACATATTACTTATCTCCATTTTGCTTAGGTCTCCTGCTCTGATTTTGTTCCACTCTTTCATTTGGGACATATTCCTCTGTCTCCTCATTCTGTCTATTGCTGTGTCTGTTTCTCTGTGTTAGGAAAGTCAGCTATGTCTCCCGCACTTGAAAGTAGTGGCTTTATGAAGAAGAGGTCCTGCAACACAGTGTCTCCTGTTGCCCAGAACCTGCGTGCTTCAGGGGGTGTCTCCTATGTGTGTTGCTACAGGGGTGTCCTACCATTGTGGCTGGGATGTGTTTGCCTTCAGTCCAGCGTGTGATGGCTCTCTGCCTGTTGTGGGCAGAGTCTGGTGCTGTGGTGTTATTGGTCCAGTCTGGGGCTGCCTTCAGCTTGAGTTGAGTCAGACCAGGCGTTTGGCAGAGATGAATTAGTACCAAACTGCAGGGCACTTTCCCTGTGTTGTCCCCTGAGGAGCTTTTGTTGGTGGGTGGGGCCTGCAGTCAGACCAGCTGCCTGCCCCCAGCCCACTGCTGGGGTCAGAATGGTGTGTGTGGTTATCTTGCCCTCTCCCTGGAGCAGGACTCACTTTGGAGTGGTGCTGACCCTCGTCTGGGCTGCATGCACACTGCCAGGCTTGTGGCACTCCTTTGATGGGACCTTGCCAAGAGTGATCGGCGGGGGCGGGGGGGGGTGGATCTGCTTCGCTGTGGCCTCTTGTCTATGCTGGGCTGCAGAGAGTCTGTTCTGCCATTTTTCGGGCCGCTTTCTGGGTTATTTATGCCAACATGGGTGCTCTCTCGGTGGCCACATGGCAAGAGGTGAGCCCAGGGTCATCCTACTCCACCATCTTCCCAGCTGATGTTGAAATTTCTTAATATGAGGCATGCCTATATCCATTCCTAATGTTCTCTTTTAAGGATAACATGCCCCAGAACTAAAAGCAGACTATGTTGATATTTTTGTTCACATATTTTGTAATCTCCAGACATTGAAGTAAAGCAAAAGTCTTGATTTTAGTTCTTCAGAAAGCAGTATTCTTAGCACTCCTTCAGAGAAGGCTGAGGTGGGACTTACCTGCTCATAATCTCACCTTGTCCAATATAAACAAATGTGAGAATGTGGCCTGTGCCTTCCTAGGCTGGGGACTTTTCCTCCACATAAAAATGAAGCAAGGCTATTCACTAAGCAGTCCTTCCAAGAGCCGCAGTTTTCATAGTGCAAAGGTTTGGAGCTTTTGAAAACTATGAAGGGATGCCTATACTCTCATTTAGATCTCTTAGGACATAGAAGAGTGGTCAATGATTTGTATTTACAGACACATAGAGCTTGGATAGCAGGTTTACTGCCAAAGTTCTCTTTGTTAAACTGTGAAGTTGTAAACTAATATTCAGTGACTTCTAACCTCTATATTTAGGTGATTTTCTGCTCTGCTTTCAAGTTCCGATAAAACTGGTCAGAGTCAGATGTTAAGCAACTAGCTTTCCAATCCTCTCACCAGTATTTACCTTTTAAGAGAGAACAGCATGGGAGAACAATGATTATTCCAAAGACATGAGTACCTGATGCTTAAATCTAGTTGTAAGACATGCCACCAGTCTATGATTAGGTTTCTTAAATGTTTGGTTCAACTTAGCTTCGTTCCTCCCTTCCTTCCTCCCTCCTTCCCTTTACTGATTACACTGAAATCTCTAGTTTGTTGCACCATCTTTAGTAGACTACTGTCAGTCCTGACTGGCCCTCTGTGTTTCCTGTGCTGGTGAGTTGGGATGGACTAGGGGCTCTCAAGCTTTAATGTGAATGGGAATCACCTGGAGGGCTTTTAAAGCCCAGATCCTTGGGCCCACCTGAGTTTCTGATTCAGTAAGTCTGAGATAGAGCCCAAGAATTTGCATTTCTAACAAGTTCACTGGGAGATGCTGATGTTGCAAGTGGGGGACCATACTTTGAGAACCACAGGGTTGGCCAATATAGAAGAAAATCCAATGTTTCCTTGAATCCAGAATCCAGAATGAACTCCAGTCTGCTTTTTGTTTAATCCATGCTAGACTCTGTTCATCTTTCCTGAGGCAGAGGGGGCAGTTAAGCAAATGGCTTATTCCCCAAAATAGAATTTTTCCAGAGGGCTTAGAATCTCTTTACCCATCCTACCAAAGCCATCGCCCCTGAAGCTAATACGTGCACTAATACAGGGTCAAGAGGAAAAGGGGTGTCTGTTTCAGGGTAGAGGATTGCTTTTTCCAATTTGCCTAGTCTATTTTATCTAGCTTAACCATAAGCTCCTTGAGGAAAGGAAGCACACCTGAATCATCGTCCATAATCTTGAATGACATCTGGCATATAGAAGCATCTGGTCATTTCATGTTGATGGCTGTTCCTAGAACCCTTTCTTGTGCTTGGGGCAGATGTAGCAAGGAGAGTCATTCATGTATGCCTACCGTCACTCCTGCAGGTTGTCGTTTACTGAACCTACACCTGGGGCTGTCTCTGCAGGCTCTACATATGGTCTGTGTAAATGTGTACAGCCTGACCAGCACTGTGGGAAAGGGGCTTGTGCCTTTAAATCTCAGTGTGATTATGGCATTGATTTCAGAATGCAGAGTGATGTTTTTTGTATGTGTTATATTGTTTTAATATGGTAGTTAATTGGACCACAAATGATGTAC